TTGTGATTGGATGCTAGCCGCTAGGGCGGGCCCTCGCTCCTTGTGACTGCTGCTGTTGAGGAAATGTTTTGTTCGAGCTCTTTCCTAAAGGCCAAAAAAGGCTTCTTATCTGTAAATTTAGGTTTACGGACGTGAATTTTGTCTTTCTTTTTGCCCTCTGTAGATACAAACATTGTCCGAGCAGTTCTTATTTCAACAGGTAAAGTATTCCAGAGATCAGGAGCAGCCATTGAAAAGGCTTGGTCACCATTAGTTTTTAACCTGGATCTGGGGACATTGAGGAGCATCTGATTGGATGGCCTCAGTGCTATGACCGGAGTGTGGACATGTAAGTTCTGATAAATAAGGTGCCAACCCATTTAAAATCTTAAAAACAAGCAATAAAATCATCCTACAGTAAACAGGAAGCCAGTGGAGCAGGGCTGAAACTGGGAGGTGTGCTCACGCTGTTTAGTTCCAGTTAGAAGTCGAGCTGCTGCGTTCTGGACTAACTGGAACTGATGGAGAGACGACTGGTCCACTCCAACATACAGAGTTACAGTAGGTCGACGCATTATAAATGAATGGATTACTCTTTCAAATCTTTGCATGGCAGGTATGGCTTGACTTCAACCAACAGTCTCAGCTGAAAAAACTGGCTTTTACAAGAGAAATAATTTGTTTTTCAAATTTAAAAGCTCCAAACATCAGACCTAGATTCCTGGTAAATGGACGACTAAGTTCCTTAAGTATCCCCAGGTCGACCCAACACAACCTCAGTCTTACTTTTGAAGACAGAGAAAGTTCTCCAACCAAATCCAGTTCTCTAAATCCAACCCTATTTTAAGATCTCTCAGGCAGTTCAGAACTGAGCTGAGGACTTATCATTGGCAATATAATTGTATATCATCTGCAAAGTAATGAAAGGAGATACTGTGTTTCTTGAAAATGGACTCCTGTCAGTGGTGTCAACAAGTACTAACCAATCGCAGCACAGTAGGGCTAACAGGAAATGCAGAGGAAGAAAACTTTCAGGAAGAAGCGGCAAAAGAAGAAAGCGATGAAAAGCTGCAGCGTGTCATTCAGGTAAGAAATACTTGTCTGACTTTTCATTGTTCTGAAAACCTCACGGCTGTTTTAAGACACAGATGTCTGCTGTTTTATGAACACTGCTCAGGTGTGAGCACAGGTAAGGAATCAGGAAGTAAACAGCCCACATGCTTTCTGTCGGGCACAAATGTGTTCTTTACATGGCGACAGGTTTCAGGTAAAAACAACTTGTGTCACAACAGAGATTTCAGACGCTGACGTTTATCGTCTGCTCAGGAGATTTAAGGTACATCCACCCCTCAGAGAGATCGGCCTAAATCAGCCTGCAAACATCCCAAAACCAGAGAGTTCTCTTACTAAAAGCTGATCTTTAATGAACAGATCATATTGAACCCATGCAGGAGGAGCTGCAAGCATACGCTAAATCATCCATCCCACTTGTGCTGCAGGAGTTTGTTGGTCTTTCAGGTTTTCCTTTGCCTACAGGAGTCCATCGCGGCGCGAGCTTTGGGATCTGTCAAAACCAAACCTTAACTGTAGCGGTGGAAAACCAGAAACCACTGACCAGTTGTTTTGGAGGGCAGTGACAGGTCAGGACTGGAGGATTGTGGGATAGACATCAAGGGTCAAAGAACAGAGGGTGCTGCGTGCCGTACAGATGGAAAGCCTGAGGCAGATTGGGGATGCTGGGCTGTATATATTAATAGGCCCGACCAACTGCAGAGTCTCAATGGACTAATTGAGCCTGATAATAAGGAACAGCAGTGATCCAGTTTTTCTGCATCATGTAGAGACAGGATGTTCCTGATGTTTGTTACCTAGGTGAGAAAAGTTGGTCCTTAAGAATTTGCTTAATGTGAGAGTTGAAGGACATGTCCTGATCACAGATAAGTTACGGTGGTGCTGGACTCCAGCCGCTGCCATCCAGAGGACGTAGCTGTATCAATGTCTCAATTCCGTTATTTGTCGTTTCCTTGCTCCTCGCGTGAACCGGAAGTTGTTCGGCTCTGCCGTCTCGCCAGCCGTCCCAAAGCTCTTATTTGTGCTCTGAGCAGCGAGGATACACCAGTGCATCCAACCCGACATGCCCCCTTGTTGAAAAGCCGTTATTGATCTGATGCGTCACAAGATCACTGCAGTTTCGTGTGAGAGAAGACAAGCAGCAGGTTGAAAGTGTATCCAAGTTTTTTATTTGATCTGTTTTTATGATTCACCATCTAGTTGAAACTGTGTTCACTGCAGGTCTGAATATCCTCCTTAACAACTTCCGAATTTGTGGAACATAAACAAACATGGCGACACTTGAGGCAACTGACAACGGCGAGTATGTTTCTCTCAGTATGCTCGATGACAAGAAACCCCATCAAAACTTCCACGTGTCTGCCAGGACGTTTGATGACTCTGTCGCAGACTTTCCTCTGAAGGATAACTAATGCGACCGCATCCAGGTGAGTTCGTGTTACATCCAGAGAATTTGCACAGATTAATGAAATGAATAGGCAGTTTCATCATGTGTGCCGTAAGTGTAGAATTCATTAATACATTACCCTTCATTTTATTTTTTAAGTTTGATCTGAAAAAATCTGTCTCATCACTGTTCACTATCATTTTAACGGGGAGCAATCTCACTGCTCGGTGCCACTCCAGAGCAAGGCGGGTTTCTGAAAACGCCTTTGGCATTTCAGCTGCAAGGCGGACAGTCTTTGGAACGGCCGTGTTAGTTCTACTGAGACGGGCCAAGACATAAGAAAGGCTCTGCACAGTTACTCTGCTGCACCAACCAAGTCCAGTCAGACAGGGCGAGAGACTCGCACAGCACCTCGGTGGACGAAGGGGACGTCCCTGGAGAAGGGAGGCGGGATCCAGGACGCCTCTGCTGATGGAGCAACGCGTCAGACGCTCAAGTGCAGAACGAGCTGAAGAAGTATTTTCAGACGGACACAGGAGGGCGGCTCTTCAGGACACTGTCCTCCAGAGAGGCACACTCCATTAATACAGCATCTATGCTCAGTTATTTAGACTGATGCAATGCCAAACAGAATCCAACGTGCCCGCAGTTGAGCCGAACTTTGAGACCTTCTTAATATCAGAAGACAGAAAAATACTCAAAGGAGACCAGATGCAGCAGGTAGCCTGTAGAAGTTCATTAGTATATATACACTTCTGTTTATATATACTGAGTTCTTTTATGTCAGCAACTTGAGAATGAAACTGAGAACTTGTGTCAGTGTATGCTTCATCTCCTCAATCAGTCTCTTGGCAACATGCCCGTGGTGCTGCTGAACGAACACGGTGAGGCTGGGTCGTCGTCCTCACTGATCTCTGCCGACCTCTGGAGGGCGTCAGCAGCATCCAGCTCCGGGGTTCGCTTACTCTTCCTTTGCACTCCAGGTGCTGTGCATGTCGAGGGCTCACATGACCCAGGTCGGCTCGGTGTAGAACAGAGAACAGATGACGGGCCTGGAGTAAGATTGCTCACGGTGTCCTCCTCGTTCGGCATCGGATGTTAGAACCGCGGCGTCATTTGAACAGCTAGCATGCAATGTGAAGCCTTCTGTGGTTTGTTACAGAGGCTCCTAAACACAAAACGAGGACGGTAACTGTTGCTTTCTGCTGTTAGCTTTCGGCTAGGAAACATTCAGATAGATCCAGCCTGTATTTTGTTCATCTGAAGCGACGTGTTGAACACTCACTGTATCACTTTGGGGGAAATAGGTGTCAGTGGACCGGTGATTAATAAAATTCTTTAGCCAGCTCAGGCGCCGGCCAAAACACGCCATCAGCGCCGTCTCCACTCCGTTTCTCAAGCATTTTCCGCCGTGCTCGAACATACCGGCCTCTGACCTGTTTCCACTTATTTGGCGATGTCACGGCAGCTATTTTGACATGCATACCTGTCGCTGTGGAGTGGACACATCTTTCAGGTGTCTGTGATTGTGGACTCGCTTCTTTGTTCAGACTTCTGCTGACCGCCTTCTTCTTTTCAGTTTTACGCCGGTTGGCAAAAAAACTGCATTACCGCCGCCGAGTTTGGAACTCTGCTGCTGACCTGCCTGTCAGATCCTGACACGCTGCCCCCATGCACGAGCATCACGCTCATCAAATGTCCGACCCTGCAGTCTTTCCCAGAGATCTGAATGCAGGCGTCACTTTAGTCTCTGTTCCTGGTTAAACCCGAGCTGAGCGTCTCTGAGACTGCAGCTGCTGCCACCCCACCGGTGAACCTCTAAAGCGCCACTCGGGACGAGCCCAGCACCTTTACAGCTGCCACAGGGGGCGCTGTGCACCCTCTGTAACTTCAAGAAGCTCTTAAAAACTCATCTCTTCCGGAAACACTTCCTCTTATAACACCTCTAACATGCACTTCCTGTGCTCTTCTTCTTCTTCTATCCCCTACAATGATCTTGTATTGATTGCACTTCCTTCCCTAGGTATTTACCCGATTGATGTGATATGTACCATGAGTACATGTACTTACTAGTATTTATTGCTGCTCTTACTAGTATGTATCGTCAGTTGTAGATCTGTATTTGATGCTCTGTTGATGCTTGTATGTTGTTCCTCAAATGTAAGTCGCTTTGCATAAAGTTAATGTAAATGTGTGGAAGCATCTGCATTCACGTCTTTATTCAGGTTTGTCTCCATCTGTTGTAGTAATAACACTGAGATCATGTGACTGTACGGGGAGATTCTCAGCTATGACCACAGGTTAAGAACAGTCAGGGCCAGACATGACTGTCACATGACCCGGCTGTTTTTGTTGCAATGCAAACAAAAGAAATGCAGGCGAAAGGCCAAATCATTTGGAATTACAGGATGTGTGTGTACAGAAACACCTGCATGACGTTTATCTGTGGTGAAATAAACATTTAACATCTTTCCAGTCTGAATTTTGAGTTTCAGATATGTTAGTACACATATGCAGTATAATGATATACAGTACATGTGACTCGTCAAACAACAAACAGGTGTTCGGATCCAAGAGAAACTTTATTGGTACAAAGCACTTTAACAGCCACAAGCAGAGAGTGAGACATGGTTTTGGCGTTTGGTATCAAACTGCATTCTGGGATGGTGAGTGTGTGTGGGGGTGGGGGGGGGTCATCACGAGGGCCTACAGCACATCAGCATTCAGAAACACAGAAGAGGTGATGATTGGCTGAGAGAGGTGACATCAGAGAGAGAGACTTTATGTGATTGGAGGGATTTTATGAAGGAAGCTCCAGGCTGGTTAACGTATTCTCTGTTTTCTCTGAGACGATAGCTCAAGGACTCCTGGAAAAACCTCCTGGACCCCCTGAACTTGTAAACGTCCTCAAGGACTTCTCAAACCGTCTCACTGATCCTGAGTTTATGTCGATTTTTCGGAACTAACTCCGTGTTTCAGAAGCTGAAATAAGCTGAAAGTCAGACGACGTGTTTCAGACCTACAGCATCATCATGTGGCGGCCTGAAGGTCGCCATGTGACTGGTTAGGGTTAGCTCTGTTGTCACGTGACGAGGAAACGTTTCTATCAGGATCAGTGTCCGTATCACACAGCCGCACCTGAAACCTCCTCAGGGTCCTCCTGAAGGACTCCGACTGGGTTCAAGCACCCAAAAACCTCCTCAAGTACTTCTGGAACCAGCTCAAAGCCCAAAAGTTCAACCCTCACACAGAGAGAGGTCCAGGAAGTGTTTAAGCTAGCTTAGCATAAGGACTGCACACGGGGGGAACACCTAGCCCACCAAGAAGAGTCCACCTGCGACCACCCGGAGCCAGGCTAGCAGTTTCGCCCTGTTTCCAGTCTTTGTGCTAAGCTAGCATAGCCACGCGCTGCCCTGATACTCTTCTTCTCTGGAGGAAACAGAGGAGGGTTACCTGCCTCGCTGAGTGCTGACTGAACGCCTGTTATTGGCTGTCTGAGCTGATAAAATCTCTCCAATCCTGTCGCTGTGACATTAGATGAAGGTCATGAGGAAAAAGGCAGAATGATGATTTTTTTTTCTTTCTTCCATCAGGCAGTTTCCTTGGTAACAGGAGGGGTGGGTCTGCAGGCACCGGGTCATCTGATCACAGGCCTTGTTTGGCGAGGGAGGCCGAAACCTGACAGGAAGGGGAAGTGGTTAATGTGTGTGTTTGATTTGTTGTGGTCTGAACAGGTAAATCTCTCACCTGGTCGGCCAGGGTGTTGAGGGGCGGAGCTTCAGCAGCATTAAGGCTTCCGGGGGAGGAAGTGTTGCTAAGGCGAGGAGGGGAGGAGTCGGGCTGGGTGACTATGTCGGCACCGTGGTCGGTCCGAGCTTTGGCGGTCTCTCTGAAGTTCAGCTTCTGAGTCTCAATCTGTCGACGCGCCATCAACACAAACGTTATTAATATTCCACAAACTGCAGTCAGACAGTAAAATCACAGGATTCTAAAGACTTTATGGAAAAGATGCATCAGATCAAAGTGCATGCTGGGTAGAGATGTATGACGACATTTATTATTGGGGGGGGGTCTGGCAAAGCCAACAGAACCACATCTTCTGCATAGACGCATCCCAGTCGCCCCCCCCAACAACCCTGCAAATGTTAAAGAGCCGGTCCACCAGGACAGAATCTGTATTGGTTGTCATTTCCAACAGTCTGCTCTCGGCTAACGCAGAGGCCATGTAGGTGGTCCACCTGGGGCGCCACTCTGTGGTGGGGCGCTATCAAAGGAAAAAATAAGATGAATCAAAATGAAAAGGTCCGAGCCTTCAGGTGCACAAGAGGGTAAAAGAGAGCAGAAGGAACAGAAAGCCCAAAATAAAGGGTGTTGATTTGTAGCAGCCAGCTAGCTGGTTAAAAAGCTAACGTTGGACGATGATGCTGCGATTACTGAAGAGCCTCACAGCCAGAGGACAGAAGCTGCTCTGCAGGCTGCTAGGTCGACATGCTTCTGGATGTAAATCCTAAGAAGCAGCTCAGCAGGTAACATTATAGAACTAGTCTGCTGCTGCAGCTGCATGTGTTTGTAAGAGGCTAACGTCTTTGTAAGGGTCCAGATCAGGGAACACCAGCAGAGCCCTGCAGCTGCTGGAGAAGCTCCACCTGCTGGACCTCAGCCTGCAGGTGAGTCACTATAACACTATTGTTATTATTTCACATACTGGCCTTAACATGGCAACACTAGCACAATAAAATACATTGAATCAGAAATATAATTTAGGTCTTATCAAAGGGAACTGATCAGTATTAGCCTGGAACCATCTGTATTTATTCAGGCTGTCTACAGGACACAGTAATCCAAAGAGACTGTAGACCTGGAGTCTGTGTTCCCTACCGGATCTAAAGTCTCTGCTTGAGATGTGTTTACTGCCTGATGGCTTCCTTTATGGTCACGGTGCACCCTTACTAAAGGAACCGAATAACTGTTCTACAGCCTGGAACACAACCTGAAGAAGGGGTCTCTGAAGAGACATTACATTTCCAAAGAGAGGACGGAGACGCTTCCATCACCACCACTTTTACAGAAAATGCAGCTCAATAGAAAAGTCCTGACCAGGCTGGAGCTAGGGGTCCCAGCCTTTATGCCGGCCCATTTGCAAAGCCTGCCCCAACTGATTTCCCTTTTTGTGTCCGGGTCAAAACGGATGAATGTAAATTCGCAAAGCATGCTGTGTTCTGGTAGTCGGATCAGATTCGATCAGCGCGCATTAGAGTTCATCCCTTTTATTTCTCCCCCACCTGTTTCTGATTCCTCCTCCTGACCCCCTTTCCTCCGAATGCGTTTCCTTAACAGACGCTGGGCTGAGGTTTCTCCCCAGAGTCACACCGGGCCTTTACGTGTTAACGCCTGCTAGCTTCGTTCATTAACGTGTTTTTGTCAGCTGCAGCGCCTCCTGCAGGACCAGCTGCTCACTGGTGTTTATTTACATGCAGATTGTTAGCATGTTGTGAGCCGGTTGTTGGCAGATTGTTAGCATGTTGTTAGCAGACTGTTAGCATGTTGTTAGCAGGATGTTTGCAGGTTGTGAGCATGCAGTTAGCATGTTGTGAGTCGGTTGTTGGCAGATTGTTAGCATGTTGTTAGCAGACTGTTAGCATGTTGTGAGCCGGTTGTTGGCAGATTGTTAGCATGTTGTTAGCATGTTGTTAGCAGACTGTTAGCATGTTGTTAGCAGGATGTGAGCATGTTGTTAGCATGCAGTTAGCATGTTGTGAGTCGGTTGTTGGCAGATTGTTAGCATGCTGTTAGCATGTTGTGAGCCGGTTGTTGGCAGATTGTTAGCATGTTGTGTGCCGGTTGTTGGCAGATTGTTAGCATGTTGTGAGCCGGTGGTTGGCAGATTGTTAGCATGTTGTGAGCCGGTTGTTGGCAGATTGTGAGCCGGTGGTTGGTAGATTGTTAGCATGTTGTTGCCAGATTGTTAGCATGCTGTTAGCAGGATGTTTGCAGGTTGTTAGCATGCAGTTAGCATGTTGTGAGCAGGTGGTTGGCAGATTGTGAGCATGTTGTTAGCATGTTGTGAGCCGGTGGTTGGCAGATTGTTAGCATGCTGTTAGCATGTTGTGAGCATGCGGTTAGCATGTTGTGAGCTGGTTGTTGGCACATTGTGAGCATGTTGTTAGCATGTTGTGAGCCGGTGGTTGGCAGATTGTTAGCATGTTGTTGGCAGATTGTTAGCATGCTGTTAGCAGGATGTTTGTAGGTTGTGAGCATGTTGTTAGCATGCAGTTAGCAGATTGTTAGCATGCTGTTAGCATGTTGTGAGCATGCGGTTGGCATGTTGTGAGCTGGTTGTTGGCAGATTGTGAGCATGTTGTTAGCATGTTGTGAGCCGGTGGTTGGCAGATTGTTAGCATGTTGTTGGCAGATTGTTAGCATGCTGTGAGCAGGATGTTTGTAGGTTGTGAGCATGTTGTTAGCATGCAGTTAGCAGATTGTTAGCATGCTGTTAGCATGTTGTGAGCATGCGGTTGGCATGTTGTGAGCTGGTTGTTGGCAGATTGTGAGCATGTTGTTAGCATGTTGTGAGCCGGTGGTTGGCAGATTGTTAGCATGTTGTTGGCAGATTGTTAGCATGCTGTTAGCAGGATGTTTGTAGGTTGTGAGCATGTTGTTAGCATGCAGTTAGCAGATTGTTAGCATGCTGTTAGCATGTTGTGAGCATGTTGTTGGCAGATTGTTAGCAGGATGTTTGTAGGTTGTGAGCATGCAGTTAGCAGATTGTTAGCATGCTGTTAGCATGTTGTGAGCATGCGGTTAGCATGTTGTGAGCCGGTGGTTGGCAGATTGTTAGCATGTTGTTGGCAGATTGTTAGCATGCTGTTAGCAGGATGTTTGTAGGTTGTGAGCATGTTGTTAGCATGCAGTTAGCAGATTGTTAGCATGCTGTTAGCATGTTGTGAGCATGCGGTTAGCATGTTGTGAGCTGGTTGTTGGCAGATTGTGAGCATGTTGTTAGCATGTTGTGAGCCGGTGGTTGGCAGATTGTTAGCATGTTGTGAGCCGGTGGTTGGCAGATTGTTAGCATGTTGTGAGCCGGTGGTTGGCAGATTGTGAGCCGGTGGTTGGTAGATTGTTAGCATGTTGTTGGCAGATTGTTAGCATGCTGTTAGCAGGATGTTTGCAGGTTGTTAGCATGCAGTTAGCATGTTGTGAGCCGGTTGTTGGCAGATTGTTAGCATGTTGTGAGCTGGTTGTTGGCAGATTGTGAGCATGTTGTTAGCATGCTGTTAGCAGGATGTTTGTAGGTTGTGAGCATGTTGTTAGCATGCAGTTAGCAGATTGTTAGCATGCTGTTAGCATGTTGTGAGCATGCGGTTAGCATGTTGTGAGCTGGTTGTTGGCAGATTGTGAGCATGTTGTTAGCATGTTGTGAGCCGGTGGTTGGCAGATTGTTAGCATGTTGTTGGCAGATTGTTAGCATGCTGTTAGCAGGATGTTTGTAGGTTGTGAGCATGTTGTTAGCATGCAGTTAGCAGATTGTTAGCATGCTGTTAGCATGTTGTGAGCATGCGGTTAGCATGTTGTGAGCTGGTTGTTGGCAGATTGTGAGCATGTTGTTAGCATGTTGTGAGCCGGTGGTTGGCAGATTGTTAGCATGTTGTTAGCATGTTGTGAGCCGGTGGTTGGCAGATTGTTAGCATGTTGTGAGCCGGTGGTTGGCAGATTGTTAGCATGTTGTGAGCCGGTGGTTGGCAGATTGTTAGCATGTTGTTAGCATGTTGTGAGCCGGTGGTTGGCAGATTGTTAGCATGCTGTTAGGTTGTGATCAGTAGGTAGGATAAAGGAATGTTTCTCCTTTGGGATTCGTTCATAATATCTTGGTAGTGTTGCAGTGAACACAGTTAGAGCAGTTGTCTCAGGGGCACATCCCTGGACTCGAGGGGGTCGCTGTTTGTGCAGTTGCCTTTCCCGGTCCGGTGGTTTTTAGTGCATAAGTACCCGCTGTAAGTAACTACATGAAGACTAGGGTTGAGGTTTGTGACCTTTGTTCGGTCTCCATCGGAGGAGCTTTTGAATAGTTTTACAAAAGATGAACTTTTGAAGCTCATTGATTATTATGATAACGGAGAAAAAACGGTTAAAGGAGGAAATTAAAGGAGTGTTGAGGTCTGCTTTAATGGAACAAGGTGCCAGCTAAGATGCAGAGTCGAGGTGATGGTGACGGTGAGTCTGTGGTTCACAATTACTACAGTAGCCTCAACCTTTGAGCAACAAAAAGAACTTCTGCTGTTGCAAATGGATAAATTAGGCATAGAAAAGGAAGAGGTCATTGGAAAGGGAAAAACTGTTCAGATGAAGCTGCTAGAGTTGTTGGTTATGCCTCTAAATTTTCTTGGTCTGGTTGAGGAATTAATATTGTCAGTGGGGAGTGTTCTCCATCTGGGTTAGCGTCTGCGACTTGGTCAGCTAGCTTTGGTAACATTAAGTGCTATAGCTCACGCTTTGATTAGTATGAGTTTTGTAGTTTCGTTGGTTTGTTGCGTTGTGCGTCTTGGGACGACTTGATTGGCTAGTGAGCCTTTGTTCAGAGGAAACTTTTGTTGCGGTAATTTGGTTTAGCACTTGCGTTGTAATTCCAGTTGTGTGCGTTCGGTTGCTGGAACTTTAGTGTGTCGTCTAGCAGAAGGCCAACTTGTTTACATGAGATGAGCTTCGGGTGCTGATTCTGATGTGAACTTGGGTCGGGCTACAACCTCAATTTCCCCGCTGTCAGTATTCCTCACTTCTGTATCTCTAAAAACCGGATCTGGTACTATAGGTTGGACATTAAATATATCAAAGGCAAAGATAATATTATGGCGGATGCCTTGTCCCGCGCTCCTTTGTAACTCTTGCAACTTAATTAATACTACTTCTACACTGTCCTCTGCTGCCTCTGTTTTCCTTCCTCTTAAATTGCTCCAAGGCTGCTGAGGTTGGTGATTACGAGTCTGGAGAGGCATCTATCCATCTTTGTAGAGGTGTTTTGGTATGGGGCTAGGTAAGCACATCTTAAACACCTTTTTAGATAAAGTCTCTAAGTCTATGTATAAATGTAAATAAGTTGATATTTGTTAAGTTCCTATGGTGGGGAGTGTGACGGCTCCAGGTTTGGGCCCTCTCTTGTTGTTTGTATCTTGCTGTGTTTTGTCCCTTTAATCCGGGTAATTGGTGGGTGGAGTTGATACCTGGTGTGAGATGCAACACACCTGAGCGGGGGGGGGGGTCAGGTGGTATAAAGGAGCCTGCTGGATGATTTGATGCCCTCTTCTCCCGGCCTGCCGACTGATTCTGTTCTGTTTGGTTCATTGTGTTCTACACCCACACACTCCACTCACACATGCACTGCACACATAATGATCTGACAGACACCTGCAATTGTATATTTTGCTTAATTTACTTATTAAAATCTCTATTATTATTTTCAGACTGTGTGGTTTCCCGCTTTTGTCACCTACTGTTGAGCCAGGTTGTGAGCATGTTGTCAGCAGATTGTTAGCATGTTGTGAGCAGATTATTGTACCTTCTTCTTCCCTCCTCCTGGCACATGAGTGATGTTCTCCAGAGAACCGATTTTAGACTGAGCGCCTTTAAAATCCACCTTCTCTGATTTAATCTCCAGCTTCCCCCCACCTGTGACACACACAACACACACAGGTACATTGTAATATGATAACAGTGTGTTATGCAGAACACTGTATAACTACAGTAAAGTACAGTGGACGAGTATAAAAAACAATCCTGGACTATATCTAACCTGCTACATGTCAGGTACAGCGAGAGTCGAAGCTCCAGCTGCAGTGACACACTCACCTGTGTGTGCGTGTGCATTACCTGGTTTGTGGTGGATGTTACTTTTGGAGCCACACTTTGATGTCACATTACTGAGATCCAGCTTCTTATGGACGATCTGAACCTGCAGACAGGTACAGGTAGGAGTCAATGAGTCCTGATCTCTTTCACATGGACTTTATTCATTTCTTTTTCTTTTAAACCTGTCCTGCCCAGCAGCCTGGTATGGAGTATGAGGAGCTGGATACCATATTGTGCCAGACAGATTTTACTTTAACAAGAGAGGATTAATATACTCCTTTGTTTGTTTTATTATTTATTTAAATTTATTTGTCCCTGGGCCAGACAGGGGACAGACATGGGGATAAAAACACCAGTTGTAGAAAGCAACAAAACCTGCAAGAGAACGGGGAGGGGGCTTGGGGCGGAGAAAAACAAACAACAAATGAGGGAGAAATGAAAATGAGAAACAGTCAAGTAACATAAATAAGCAACACAGCACAGCCATGAGAACTAGAATAATAATTTAAATACGTAACTGAAAGAAAAACATCACTAATTCTACCAGGGACAACCTTTGTTTGTGTCTATATGTGAGACTGTGCGTATGTGTGTGCATATAAGCCTGTTAATGAATGTAGTTCTTAGTGAGAGTGGCACGCCACAACCACGCCGCACCGACCCCAGTGACCAATAGGGATGGGAGAAAAACAAAAAAAGAAGTTGACTCCCACACGGATCGTGAACGCAGAAGAAACCGACCCGACCAACAAACGGCAAAAACCCGGCCGTCCAAATGCCAATCAACAACGCGGTGCAGTCGGAACCAAAAAGGCGAAACCCGCGGAAGAGCGGCACCCAGACCAACGCCAGCCAACATCCCCCATGCACACCACGCCCTCCAAACCAGCAAAAAGGCAAAATCAACTACCTCAGCTGCGTGTCACCACCAACCCACCCACCCGTCAAGGGCCAAGAAAAACCAAGCACACGCCCAGGACAAACCAGAGCACAGCTCCGCCCCACACTGCACACCCAGTCCACCTGTCACGGGAGAGCTACGCTCTGCCCCGAGTGAGAACAGCAGGGAGATATGCCGGGGAGCCTGAATCCCCAGACCCCCTGGTCCAGAGCCAGCGACAACCCCACCCAGCCCTAGAACGGGTCCAGCGTGCAGCTGTGACCCAAAGCCCACCATGCCCCCACACCAGCCCTGTCCAGGCCCGCACTTGACGCCGTTACCAATCTAACCACCGCCACACAACAGCCAAAAAAGGCGCTGCACAGGGGAGATGCCAGCCGGCGCCAAACGCCCCCCCCCCCCCCCCCCCCCCCCCAGCGTCAATGTGTTGTTTTTTTAAAGCAGACATTCTCTCCATGCCAATATATATCAGGAGATTCCTATTTTGGGTGATACTTAAATTCTTTTTGGTCTTCCAAAAATTGGTCGTCCAGTTCATGAGAGTAGTTTTCTTGGCGATGCATAAGGCAGTGAGAAGCATGTATGATGTTTCAGCCTCTATACTAACGTCACTTAGGTCCCCCAGCATGCAGAGTCATACTGGGGGAACTTAGCCATATCTTCTGCCAGAACTTTTGAACAGGTGTACATTGCCACATTGCATGCATGTAACTATCAGATATGTTACCTGAGCAGTTCCGGCAGATGTTTGACTGCATAAGACCCATTCTGAACATCCTTTGTCCAGTATAGTGTGTTCTATGGAGAGTTTTATACTGTATGAGTTGTAGATTGGGATTTGTAGTCATTCTAAAGGTATTTAAACATATCTGCATCCAAAAGTTTTGGTCTGGACTAATGGATAGATCTGTCTCCCACTTTAGGAATGGGAGAACTGTCTGTTTTCAACAGTAACGTGTATATTTTTGAAAACCGTTTTGGGGGTGACAGTTTAAGTATGTTATCATTGGAGGTAGATCTAAGTATTAGAGCATTACATGCTCTGGATGTCTTATCCCTTTGTCATGCCACAGTGGGGAATTTAGTGTTTCCTTATTTTGCAGGATGTCAGGATTGTTCCAGATTGGGGTAAGTCTGCATGACCCAGATATTTTGAGAAATTTCCACCAAGCTGCCAGGGAAGAGCTTTTAAAGCAGGTGTGATGTTTGATGCTGGAACTGATGAATGGCAAACCACCACAATCTTTTGCTTATTGGAGAGTTTTTAAACTTTATTTTTCCACAAAAATTTTGAGATCTATGAGTCCAGGGATTTAAACCAGACAGCAGAGGGTTTGGTGGGTAACATTGAAAACATAATTTCTTTGGTGGAGACTCTTCCCATGAATGATATGGGCAATGTTTTCCATCACACAAGGACATCTATTGATTTAAGTAAAGGCGTGTAGTTTAGCCGTGTCAGTTCTGACCGCTTGGAGGAAATATTGTTTCCAGACTTTAGCAGTATGGTAGATATACTCTGGAAATCACACATTACAGGTAAAACTATGGATTTACTCCAGTTAATGGAGTTTAGGAGGAAGAGTAATACATCATCTGCATAAAGGCTTATCTTATGGTGTACATTTTCTGTTTTAATTCCTTTATTATTATTTTGTCTGATAGCAGCTGCTAGCGGTTCTATAAAAATGGCAAATAGTGAGGGAGAGAGTGGGCAACCCTGCCTGGTACCCCTCGGGAGACTAAAGCATGGAGAAGTATGATCATTTGTCCTGACAGAAGTATAAATATTTATTTTTATTTAATTTTAATTTAATTTAATTTCAATTGGTTGCTGCTCAACTCATTTCTGAGTCCAACAGTAACCGAAAAAGCACCGTCTTGGTGACATATTGAACAACTTCAGCTTCAGCAGACTGACATGGCGTCCTGCGCTGAACGATATGGACAGACTGAGCATAGCGTTGGAGCTGGTTTTCTACATGTGGTCAGCTAGGAGCTGCATTATGTTAACGAGGGTCTTCACAAGTAAAGAAAGACAAACAGGTGTGTGTTACCTTGCCCCCTCCGGGTGAGTGTTTGAGGTTCTCTGTGGATCCGACCTTTGATTTCACGTTGCTGAGGTCCGGCATGGGGTGGGACGGGAGGGGGGGTGTCCGTCCACGAGCAGAGCCTGGAGACCTGGGGGGGGTCCGGACCACTGCTACCTGCAGAACCGTGTTATCAGAACCAGTTCAACCAGTAAAACATTCACAGAACTAGTAAATGTATTAAAACTCTTATCCTGGTCTCAGAGGGACGTGGATAATAATTAGTTATTATCAGTTTCATCCCTGAAGTTTGTATCTGTCTAACTAAATGTGAACTGAAACCAGCTCAGAGACTGTTACTGTTAGACAGGGATGTATTATTAGATTTAGTAGATGTATATTAATATTTATTGATGTATTAACAGTTGTATTATTAGAACAGAGGACTCCTATGCTAACTTCCCAAACTGATCATCTTGTTGATAGTGCTACAGGCTCCCTGCGAATGACCCTCGACTCGGTTGCCCCTTTAAAAAGAAAATAATAAGAATGTTAGCAACGTGGTAATACCAAACCAGAGGTGGAAAGAGTACAAAAATATTCTACTTAATTAAAAGTACCATTACTTTGATGAATTTCTACAGTTCAAAAAAAATCTACTAAAGTAAAAGTAAAAAGCAGCTCATTAAAAATTTACTCAGAGTAAAAGTTACCTAAAATAACTTATTCATATTGCTTTAACATGTTATTTATACCTAGGCCTATTGTACTTATTTAATTAAATTGCAGTGTTTTACGATTTGATAATGCAACAAACCCATATGGCGCTTTCAATTTTACTTAAACAGATACTTTGCCAAATCAATGGCATTTTCATTAGCTTATATCAGTGTGAACAGACTCCTTAAAACACGGTAGGCCTAAATCCATAATGATAAATCTACATAGAAAATGCTCTCAGACTGCAGCCGAGGAGTTCACTAATGATTTATGGTTAGAAACTAATTGTAAATGGAACTCTGATTGTTTTGACGCTATTATGCAGCTGCCCTTTATTGTGCATGAGACACCTGTAGTTACTATGGTAACAGCAGATGCCTTTTAATACCACAGGGCTCAGAAGTCTGGGGCAGCTAAACAAACTATTGTCGGGCAGTTATTGGTATTTTCAGCAGTCATGATAACTTTATGCTGCACACAACATGAGTCTGTGAACAGCGAAAGTGAAAGGAGCTGGTTACCTGGCTGAGCAGGTGGAGGTGTGCAGCTCTTTATCAAACCGCTCGCTGTGTCTGCTGCTGCTGACTGCAACATTTCTAACTGGGCCGCTGACAGAAAGCTGTTGAAAATGACGGTTGTCTTGTGTAGACGCATTTCTGAATTAAAGCGGTCAGCGCTGATCTCACTTACAAACAGATTGCATTTCCTGTGACTACTTCAATTGGTGACCCTAAATTGTCCTTAGGTGTGAGTGTGAGCGTGACAGGTTGTTTGTCAATGTGTGGCCCTGCGATGGACTGGCGATCTGTCCAGGGTGAACCCCGCCTTTCGCCCGATGTCAGCTGGGATTGGTTCCAGCCGCCCGCAACCCTGTACACTGGATAAGCGGTTGACGATGGATGGATGGATGGATGGATGGCTGACTGAGAACCTTCACAGACATGTTCAGACCTTCAGATACCAGAATTACCTGGTGACACTCAGACAGACGGGTTAACAGGTAGTTAGACAGGTGTTCGTACCTTCTTGACGTCTCTGTTTGGAGTAGACGATCGACTGGCAGGGGAACGGCTTCCTGGACTGCTGACGCCGTCTACTGACTCTAACAGAAGGAAAGACAGACAGAGAGGTTAACTGGGTCACACATGTTGAACTGGTCTTACTGGTTGAACTGTTGTACCTGTACTCTTGGCTGACATCATCTTGGCTGCTTTGGTGCCCCCTGCTGTCTTGGAAGCCTGAAAAACACACATTAAAATAATACTAATGATCAGTCCCAGGATTTTGCAAACACAAATTCAACAAATCCCTGTGAATTCAGCGTGACTTGCAATTTTGACCAATCACCACAACTTTTCCACAAATTGACGATGACCTCTCATCGCCGCTTTGTGCAAAGAACATGTGTGATACCAACGTCTCACATTTACCTACAACAATAACAGCAAAGGGCTGTGAAGACCAGGATCCACGTGCAGTATAGTGGTCCAACATAAAGGAAATTGTCTCAAGACAAACTCTTTGAGAGACAGTGTACTGAGACACAGGCTGCTGCATCCTGCTCAGCTGCAGGACAGAATCCAGGTCAGCTGGTTTCACTATGTAGGACCAGGGTCAGGCCCACCACGTCCTGGAGGGACTGTTTAATGATTAAACCATAGAAATATCACGTCTACCTTTGCAGATTTAAAAAAAAACACCCCAAAAATTTTATCGCAATTTGTTTTTAGAAATGTTGCTGCAAAACCACAAAAAAGAGCTGTGAATCCTGGAGGGGCTGAATAATTATACTTATTATTATTATTATGTATCCTGACAGGTGTTTCTGTTCACCCTCATTGATAGGTGTGAAATGTGGTGGAAAAAAACCCCTCTGCATATGGCTTTGATGATAGTTTCATATGTTTTACAGAAATGTGATTTGTATTTTATGTATTTTATGTGTATGTGTGTATAAATATATAATAAGATACATACATCTATATTATATTATATATAGAAAGAGAGAGATAAATATGACAGAAATAACTGTAATGACAAATTGAATCATGTGGATTTTACCTTCATAGCTTCTTCAGCTGTTTCCTTCACAGCTGCTTTTTCTGAACAAAAGAAGAAGAAACAGGAGGAAGTGACGTAAACGTGACCAACAGGAACTCACTTCTTTAAGTCAGTCTGATGATGACGAGGAAACACGAACATCTGATCCTGAAGCTGATTAATCATTGATCAGTGTGTTTAACTGCACAACAGAACATCGGCTATAAACAGAAAGGTGTTGAGGGGGCGCAGCAAACAGGAAATACAAGCGGGGAGCATACTGTTTCCATGGCAACCGTAAGGTCACAGAGGTCAACAGGAAGTCTCCGGTCTGTGTCACTTTCAAAACGAGACAAAAACATAGAAAATGTTGCTTTAACATCCAGAAACATGACACAGAGGAGGAGGAGGAGGAGAAATTAAAGGAGGTGAAATAAAAAGGAGAAGTGCAGAATGAGGAGTTTGAGAATGACAGACCTTTCTTAAGAGGAGGGGGAGCACTTGTTTTCTTGGGTGGAGCAGGTTTTTTTGGAGAGGAGGAGGTGCTGGTTTTCCTCGCTGAGGCAGCTGCTGTGGTTGGAGCTTTGGTCCTGGAGGGAAGAGCTGCAGTAGAAATCAAACGTCTCTTCTCTTTGCTGACAACACCTTTGGTCAGGGGAGAGTTTGTTTTATCAGCAGGGACCTCCTGGTCTTTAGAGGATGGAGTGGCGGGAGGTGCTTGTGTGTTTGTTTTCTCCTCCTGGACGTCCAGCTGCTTCTCAGAAGGACTCTCTGAGCTGCTGGGAACGATTATTTTATTCATCTCTGGGGGAGGGTGGAGCTCTGAAGACTCCTCCATCAGCTCCTCTTTCTCTCCGTCAGTCGTTCCTTCCTCCTCCTCTTCGTCAGCTCCTCTCTCATTAGGAGGAGCTGTGATGGAGGAGCAGGGAGTTTCTGTCTGAGCCTCCCTCGGTTTCTTCCCCACCTCTCCATCTTGTCCTTCGAGCTGCTCCTCCTTTTTCTTCACCGCAACTCTTTTCTCCTCTGTCACGTCCTCCTCCTCTTTATCTCCCTCTTTCTGTTCTTCTCCTCTGACTTCCTCCTCCTCCTCTTCGTCAGCTCCTCCCTGGTCCTGTTGTAAAGCAGGAGCTATGATGGAGGAGCAGGGAGTTTCTGTCTGTTCATCTCCTAACTGCTCCTCTTCCTCCTCTTTCTTCATCATGAATCTCTCCTCTTTCTCCTCACCCCTCCTCTCTGGCTGCTCCTCAGAGCTGTTCCTCATCAGTTCACCTCCATCTTCTTGCTCCTCCTTTACCTCCTCCTCTTCCTCCACTCTGCTTCCATTTGGGAGTTTATCCAGAAAACTGACAGAGTCGAGGTCTAAGGGGGGAGGAGGAGACGGGGGGAGAAAGAAGGATAACAAGGAGACAACAGTAGGAGTAGAAGGAGGAGATGAAGACAAACAAACTAAACATTGCCTGGATGTGAGTTAACATGTAACCATGGTAACGAGGAGGTTTTGTTAAAGTGGTTGCTAAGGGTAACACGAGGCAGCAGGGAGAATTCCTGTTTCCATCAACAAGCTGAGGAGACGAGAAGGAGGAGACGGTGATTGGATATAAATCTGATCTCTGATCAGTTAAAAGTGTAAAAGCATCTGAAACCTGATGAAAACACCTGTCCTACCGAACCCCACGCAGAACCTCGTGCAGAACCTCGTGCAGAACCTCACGCAGAACCTCGTGCAGAACCTCACGCCAAACCCCACGCCGTACCAGAGACTTTTTATACAGGAAACACGCAACTCACTCATCCTCAGTCCAACTCTATGGAGAGAGCCTGTAACGCCAAAGATGGCTGTTATCCTGCCCCTCCCGCTAGAAAGCCAATCGTCTGCTTCTAACAGCTGAGGCGGGAAACATATTTCAGCCAATTGTGGGGTTCCACTGACGTCAGGGTCTACTGTGCATGCATAGTAGAAGTCTAACCTGTGGGGAAAAACACTTTTTAAAACTTATTTTGCGGCAAAGTCATCAAACCTTTTCAGCGATTTTCCTGCTGATTCTACTCATGTAGCTTTTATGTCCCGGTGACCAGTGAAAGTGCAGTTCTGGCTCTCTCCCCATTCATTCAGATAGGAGCCTGGTCTCTGAAATAGCTGCAGGGAGGCGTTGCCAAGATGGCTGCCGAGTGACAGGACTTGCCTGTAAGGACTTTGGCCATACCCTACACCGTACCCTACACCATACCATACACTTTACCCTACAGTGTATCCTACACTGTACCATACACCGTACCTTACAGTGTACTCTACAGTGTACCCTACACCGTACCCTACAGTGTACCCTACACTGTACCATACACTTTACCCAACACAGTACTCTACACTGTACCATACACCGTACCTTACAGTGTACTCTACAGTGTACCCTACACCGTACCCTACAGTGTACCCTACACTGTACCATACACTTTACCCAACACAGTACTCTACACTGTACCATACACCGTACCTTACAGTGTACTCTACAGTGTACCCTACACCGTACCCTACAGTGTACCCTACACTGTACCATACACTTTACCCAACACAGTACTCTACACAGTACCATACACCGTACCCTACAGTGTACCCTACAGTGTACCCTACACCATACCATACACTGTACCCTACAGTGTACCCATCACTGTACCCTACACCGTACCATACACTGTACCCAACACTATACCCTACACTGTACCCTACGCCGTACCCTACACCGTACCCTACACTGTACCCTACACCGTACCGTACACCATACCATACACTACCCTACAGTGTACCCTACACCGTACCATACACTTTACCCAACACAGTACTCTACACTGTACCATACACCGTACCTTACAGTGTACTCTACACTGTACCCTACACTGTACCCTACAGTGTACCCTACACCATACCATACACTGTACCCTACAGTGTACCCTACACTGTACCCTACACCGTACCGTACACCATACCATACACTACCCTACAGTGTACCCTACACCGTACCATACACTTTACCCAACACAGTACTCTACACTGTACCATACACCGTATCTTACAGTGTACCCTACACCGTACCCTACAGTGTACCCTACAGTGTACCCTACAGTGTACCCTACAGTGTACCCTACACCATACCATACACTGTACCCTACAGTGTACCCTACAGTGTACCATACACCGCACCCTACACTGAACCCTACACCGTCCCCTATAGTGTACCCTACAATGTACCCTACACCGTACCCTACAGTGTACCCTATGCCGTACCCTTGTTCTGTGTTTAGATAATTCACTAAAAGTAACTGCTGTTCAACACTGATCAGTCGCCATTGTATGTAGTAGCCTACACCAACGAAGAAGAAACTGAACACAGTGGAACATTGAAGTCCACCTGAGTCCTGCATACAGGCAGAAATTAAAGCTCCGTAGACCTGTAGGGAGGACCACTGCCAGGGACAAGGGCAAGCTGCAGTGCATCATTTGCTCTGCAGAGAAGGTGATTGGCTGCAATCTTCCATCACTTTTAGGACCTGTACCCCTCCAGGACCTGTACGCCTCCAGGAATAAGGAGAGACCTAGAGATTGGCTGACCCCTCCCACCCGTTTCAGACTCTCCTCTCCGGCAGGAGGCTGGGGTCCATCAGGACCTCACTCCACATGAACAGTTTTTTTCCATTTGCCGCCTCATCAACAAGGCCTCGGACCCCCACTGACTCTGACTCTCCTACCCCCCTAACCAACCCCCACCCCCTTTACAGTACATACTGTAAATGTCTGCACATTAAATCAGATGCAGACGCCATCATTAGCTGAGAAAAAAAGTTATGACGTCACTTTGTAATCGCGTCTATTCTCCATCTTATTCAGGTTTACGACAAACTGAGTTTCCTGACAGAAAATATCTTTTAAATTGACAAACTTACAAGACTTTGATTTGAGTCAGACCGTACGCATTCAGTTTATATTTTGTAAATCTTGTAAATTTTTACATTATGTTTTTGTTACGCACCAAGACATCAAAGCAAATTCTGTGTCTGTGTAAACCTATTGGGCGATAAAGCTGATCCTGATTCTGAGACTGTTACCTTAGATGTTATAGTCGCTGTTAAGATGGAGCGCTGTTCGCTCATGGAAACGGTGAGTCTGTCAGTCTGAGGGAGAGTCAGGTGGTCACCTGACCGCCACAAGAGAGTCAGGTGGTCACCTGACCGCCACAAGAGAGTCAGGTGGTCACCTGACCACCACAAGAGAGTCAGGTGGTCAATTGACCACTAGGGGTGTGACAATAAATCGATACAGCAATATATCATTGTACCAGCCCATCATATCAATACATATTAATAAAAAATAGCACTTCAACAGTTAGCTCAATGCTAACATATAATGGGAATTTCATGCTAACAGACATTAGCATCGCGAAAATACAACATAAACTACACATTTTGCATCACATGCTGAACATCTTGAGTGACACTGTGCAAATACTTAAAGTACATGTTTCCTGAGCTCTGTGTGAAATAAAACTGAGCTGCTAACTTCACCGTCTTGATCGCCTACTCCGCTGCTTCTGCACCCCACACAGACCAGCTACAGCAACCCCAAAGGGTCAAAACTCAAACCCAATATTCCCAGTGGCCTAAAAATACAGTTATCAGTAGGAAGAGAAAGAGAGGAGAAGGGAACACCGAACAGTTATTACACAGCAATTTGTATTTGCAGTAAAAGCGATTGTCAAGCGATATGTCGATTATAGCAAAATTGCTGTATCGTGATATTATCGCTATCAAGAGCCGTGTATCGTATCGTGAGGTACCCTGCGATTCACACCCCTAGTGACCACCACAAGAGAGTCCGGTGATCACCTGACCACCACAAGAGAGTCAGGTGATCACCTGACCACCACAAGAGAGTCACGTGATCACCTGACCACCACAAGAGAGTCCGGTGATCACCTGACCACCACAAGAGAGTCAGGTGATCACCTGACCACCACAAGAGAGTCCGGTGATCACCTGACCACCACAAGAGAGTCAGGTGATCACCTGACCACCACAAGAGAGTCAGGTGATCACCTGACCACCACAAGAGAGTCAGGTGATCACCTGACCACAAGCTGTATTAACATCATTTGGACACTAAATCACGGAGCTACACCAACCTCCCATCATGCTCTGCTCGTCCTGGCTGAGGCCGTCTGAGGCGGTGCATCCATCCATCATCCTATGGAGGAGGGGAGGAGAGGAGGAAGAGGGAGGAGGAGGAGGAGGAGAGGAGGAAGAGAGAAGAGGAGGAGGAGGAGGAAGAGAGAAGAGGAGGAGACGAGGGGAGGAGGAGACGAGGAGAAGAGAGAGGAGAGGAGGAGAGGAGGAAGAGAGAAGAGGAGGAGAGGAGGAAGAGAGAGGAGGAGAAGAGGGGAGGAGGAGACGTGGAGAAGAGAGAGGAGGGGAGGAGGAGAAGAGAGAGGAGAGGAGAAGAGGAGGAAGAGAGAAGGGGAGGAGGAGAGGAGGAAGAGAGAAAGGAGGAGGAGGAGAGGAGAGGAGGAGAGAGAGAGAGGAGGAGGAGGAGAGGAGAGGAGGAAGAGAGAAGAGGAGGAGGAGGAGAGGAGAGGAGGAAGAGAGAAGAGGAGGAAGAGAGAAGAGGAGGAGGAGGAGGAGAGGGGAGGAGGAGACGAGGAGAAGAGAGAGGAGAGGAGGAATAGAGGAGAGGAGAGGAGGAAGAGAGAAGAGGAGGAGGAGGAGGAGAGGGGAGGAGGAGACGAGGAGAAGAGAGAGGAGAGGAGGAAGAGAGGAGAGGAGAGGAGGAAGAGAGAAGAGGAGGAGGAGAGGAGAGGAGGAAGAGAGAAGAGGAGGAGGAGAGGAGAGGAGGAAGAGAGAAGGGGAGGAGGAGACGAGGAGGAGGAGAAGAGAGAAGAGGAGGAAGAGAGAGGAGAGGAGGAAGAGAGAGGAGAGGAGGAAGAGGAGGAGGAGGAAGAGAGAAGAGGAGGAAGAGAGAGGGGGAGAGGAGGAGGAGGAGGAGAAGAGAGAGGGGGAAGAGGAGGGGAGAGGGGGAGGAGGAGAAGGGAGGGGAGGATGAGAAGAGGGGAGGGGGAGGAGGAGAGGGGAGGAGAAGAGAGAGGGGGAGAGGGGGGGGAGGAGAAGAGAGAGGGGGAGAGGGGGAGGAGGAGAAGGGAGGGGGGAAGAGAAGAGGAGAGGAGAAGAGAGAAGAGGGGAGGGGGAGGAGGAGAGGAGAGGAGAAGAGAGAAGAGGGGAGGTAGGACAGGAGGAGACAGTGAGCATGCTCAGTAACAGTAAATCCTCCATGATGATGATGCAGCAACAAACACTATAAACTCAGTTTCTATTAAACCGACGTCTCCTCCACCTGTCAGTCAAACGCACTGACATACGAGCACGTGCACGTTCCCGTCCACGTTAACCTCCCTGTCACCTCCATGTGCCTGAAGCTCCGTTAGCCTGCAGCTAACAGGCGGCAAAGGAGCGGCATAGGAGCGGCAGAGCGGGCGGTGACAGGCGGCCAAAGAGCGGAAAAACACCGCTGCAGCGTCAGCGGCGTCTGCCGCAGCCTCCTCCGAACCTGCAGACAGCGGAGCGCAGAGACACGTGGAGCGGAGAGAGAGAGACGGGCGGAGGACAGAGACACAGAGAGAGACGGGCGGAGGACAGAGACACAGAGAGAGAGACGGGCGGGCGGGCGGTGGCTCAGCTCTTACCTCCTGGCTGCTGTCCGTCGGTCTGCTGCTCCACCCTGCTGCACTTCCACCTGCTGCCGCTGTGTGCCGGGAAGCGCTCTGCTGCTGGTGCATGCTGGGAGAGGAGGCTGCCGTTGTCATGGTAACCATCCGTAAGTTACACAAACACACCTTCTATATTTGTATACATATATACATGTACTTTATATATATAGTGTGTGTGTACATACAGCCTACATATTCTATATTCATGTATTTGTGTGTATATACACACGTATATATGTATATAAAGTATATGTATAGGCCACTTTTTGGTTAATGGCTTGGGACACTAACAAAAAACGTGTCTGACCTTTAACTGTTCTTCTGAAGGACTGTTTTATATATTTTGTGTTGAATTGGTGTAATAAAATCTAATGTTCAGGCTCTACAGGTTTTAAAACATTAGCTGAGCGGTGTTAATTTTAGTTTAATTTCATAATGTAACAATGTGGGTAAGAGCCCCCCTCCGAGCTCAATGTCTATTTGCTGACACATAAAATAATATTTTATTTTTGTATCTTTAAGAAGGCCATACTCAGGATAACATAATATAAAGTAAAATAAATAGCTGACAAATTAATTTGTATTTAATCAAATTAATTTCTTAGTAAGACATTTTCCACATGGGGTACGATTTAAATTACATCTCTCTCTCCTCTACCCACAGATGTATTTTCTGCCTCTTCCCTGGCAGACATCATTATCACTATCATTATTATTATTATGTCTCCTTTCTGTTGATCTCCTCTCTGATCCTTTTGCTGTCTGTCATAAACAGTTAAACATAACTTTCCTACAAACATAGTCGAGCACATACAAACACATTTAAAGTGTAAAAAATCACAAATGCAATAATAAAATATATTTATAATGTAAATAATTTGAAATAAAAAGAAGTCAGACTGGGGTTCAGAATCCTTATTTCTAAATGTCTGTTTTTTATTTATTTATCAACCTTGAGACCCCCCCATAATTTGCAGTGTCTGGCTGTTACCAGGGTTGCCATAGATTTCTTGAATTTCCCTCAGGATAAATAAAGTATATATCTATCTATCTAGATACACGTTTACAGATGTGCATAATATTCATCTTCAGAAATAAAAACAACTCGTTCAGACTCTTTGACTGATCACTAAGAGGAATTAAATCTGATGTCGCCCTGCTCATCAGCTCTGGGTCCACATGTTCAGCGTGACACGGTCAGCAGGGGGCGCCGTGCCCCCATCCGCTCTGTGATCATCGGCTTCAGAGGATTCAATGATTTTTACTGAAACATGAAGCGTCAGAGGAGTCATGTGACTGATGAGGGGCTGACGGGAGCTGCAGGCAGTCTGTCATATATATAATCCAATCAGCATCAGACGCAGCTGTGATGTCACAGACAGGAGGAGGGGTCAGGAGGTCAAATGCATCTTGTCCGGCCAATCAGCACTCACCTTTGTCACCGGTGGAAACCGGAGACTGCCGGTCGGGTCGGGTCAGAGGTCAGACCGATCATCCGGTTACCATGGAGACCAGACAGGCAGCAGCAGCAGAGGAAGTCACAAACACAGAAGAACCTTTTCATGTGAAGCCTGATTGGAGACTTGAGTCTGACGCTTCAAACGTGTTCATTTAGTCTGCATGGTTATTATGATCTGACATCACAGCGTCATGTGTCTTCTTCTGTCCTGTCTGTCTTTGTGCTCCTGCAGTACCTGAATGCCTCCTGACCATCAGCTGAATACCTGCTCTTTGAGAAGACGAGCAGCGTTCTCCATCAGGGACCTGCTGAGGAGCCGGATCTCTGGGTCCAGGACGTCCCGTGGATCCTACTCCTCCTCCTCGTCCTCCTCCTGCTGTTAATTATCATTCATACAGCTTTAGTCCAGCAGGTGGAGCCAGAGACCCACCTCCAGGCAGGTCCACCTTTGGCCCATGGGGTCGGCTCCTGGCTCAGAAGCTGAACAGCTGAATGAAGCTGCTGTGTGAACGACACACATTTTATCAGCCTGTTTCCTGAATGTCTGAGGAGTCATGTGGCTTCACACAGACCAAAGCTTCAGAATCAATATTCCTGTCAGATATAAACTCGTATGATTCATTTCAAAATCGTCATCAAAAATCAGATTCTGTCTTTGAGAAATCAGGTTGGAGTTTTTGGTTGTCGGTGATGTAGTCCTCTGGGGTGGACTGGACCTGTGGGTGATGTAGTCCTCTGTGGACCTGTGGGTGATGTAGTCCTCTGGGGTGGACTGGACCTGTGGGTGATGTAGTCCTCTGGGGTGGACTGGACCTGTGGGTGATGTAGTCCTCTGTGGACCTGTGGGTGATGTAGTCCTCTGGGGTGGACTGGACCTGTGGGTGATGTAGTCCTCTGGGGTGGACTGGACCTGTGGGTGATGTAGTCCTCTGTGGACCTGTGGGTGATGTAGTCCTCTGGGGTGGACTGGACCTGTGGGTGATGTAGTCCTCTGGGGTGGACTGGACCTGTGGGTGATGTAGTCCTCTGTGGACCTGTGGGTGATGTAGTCCTCTGGGGTGGACTGGACCTGTGGGTGATGTAGTCCTCTGGGGTGGACTGGACCTGTGGGTGATGTAGTCCTCTGGGGTGGACTGGACCTGTGGGTGATGTAGTCCTCTGTGGAACTGTGGGTGATGTAGTCCTCTGGGGTGGACTGGACCTGTGGGTGATGTAGTCCTCTGGGGTGGACTGGACCTGTGGGTGATGTGGTCCTCTGGGGTGGACTGGACCTGTGGGTGATGTAGTCCTCTGTGGAACTGTGGGTGATGTAGTCCTCTGGGGTGGACTGGACCTGTGGGTGATGTAGTCCTCTGGGGTGGACTGGACCTGTGGGTGATGTAGTCCTCTGGGGTGGACTGGACCTGTGGGTGATGTAGTCCTCTGGGGTGGACTGGACCTGTGGGTGATGTAGTCCTCTGTGGAACTGTGGGTGATGTAGTCCTCTGTGGAACTGTGGGTGATGTAGTCCTCTGGGGTGGACTGGACCTGTTGATGATGTAGTCCTCTGGGGTGGACTGGACCTGTGGGTGATGTAGTCCTCTGTGGACCTGTGGGTGATGTAGTCCTCTTGGGTGGACTGGACCTGTGGGTGATGTAGTCCTCTGGGGTGGACTGGACCTGTGGGTGATGTAGTCCTCTGTGGACCTGTGGGTGATGTAGTCCTCTGTGGACCTGTGGGTGATGTAGTCCTCTGTGGACCTGTGGGTGATGTAGTCCTCTGGGGTGGACTGGACCTGTGGGTGATGTAGTCCTCTGTGGAACTGTGGGTGATGTAGTCCTCTGGGGTGGACTGGACCTGTGGGTGATGTGGTCCTCTGGGGTGGACTGGACCTGTGGGTGATGTGGTCCTCTGGGGTGGACTGGACCTGTGGGTGATGTAGTCCTCTGTGGACCTGTGGGTGATGTAGTCCTCTGTGGACCTGTGGGTGATGTAGTCCTCTGGGGTGGACTGGACCTGTGGGTGATGTAGTCCTCTGTGGAACTGTGGGTGATGTAGTCCTCTTGGGTGGACTGGACCTGTTGATGATGTAGTCCTCTGTGGACCTGTGGGTGATGTAGTCCTCTGTGGAACTGTGGGTGATGTAGTCCTCTGGGGTGGACTGGACCTGTGGGTGATGTAGTCCTCTGGGGTGGACTGGACCTGTGGGTGATGTAGTCCTCTGTGGACCTGTGGGTGATGTAGTCCTCTGTGGACCTGTGGGTGATGTAGTCCTCTGGGGTGGACTGGACCTGTGGGTGATGTAGTCCTCTGTGGAACTGTGGGTGATGTAGTCCTCTGGGGTGGACTGGACCTGTAGTCCTCTGGGGTGGACTGGACCTGTGGATGATGTAGTCCTCTGGAATGGACTGGACCTGTAGTCCTCTGGGGTGGACTGGACCTGTAGTCCTCTGGGGTGGACTGGACCTGTTGATGATGTAGTCCTCTGTGGAACTGTGGGTGATGTAGTCCTCTGGGGTGGACTGGACCTGTTGATGATGTAGTCCTCTGGAGTGGACTGGACCTGTGGGTGATGTAGTCCTCTGTGGACCTGTGGGTGATGTAGTCCTCTGGAATGGACTGGAACTGTGGGTGATGTAGTCCTCTGGGGTGGACTGGACCTGTTGATGATGTAGTCCTGTGGGTGATGTAGTCCTCTGTGGAACTGTGGGTGATGTAGTCCTCTGTGGAACTGTGGGTGATGTAGTCCTCTGGGGTGGACTGGACCTGTGGATGATGTAGTCCTCTGGAATGGACTGGACCTGTAGTCCTCTGGGGTGGACTGGACCTGTGGATGATGTAGTCCTCTGGAATGGACTGGACCTGTAGTCCTCTGGGGTGGACTGGACCTGTTGATGATGTAGTCCTCTGGAGTGGACTGGACCTGTGGGTGATGTAGTCCTCTGTGGAACTGTGGGTGATGTAGTCCTCTGGGGTGGACTGGACCTGTGGGTGATGTAGTCCTCTGTGGAACTGTGGGTGATGTAGTTCTCTGGGGTGGACTGGACCTGTGGGTGATGTAGTCTTCTGGGGTGGACTGGACCTGTGGGTGATGTAGTCCTCTGTGGAACTGTGGGTGATGTAGTTCTCTGGGGTGGACTGGACCTGTGGGTGATGTAGTCTTCTGGGGTGGACTGTTTCTAGTTTCCATCTTTAAGCCTTTCAAAATAAAGGAAGGCTGAGATCTGAGGTCAAAGGTCACAACGTGCATTTTCTCAGGAACTTTCTACTTGTAGTCCACCAGAGGGAAACACTGCCAGCTTCAATCTCCGTGGTGTTAGGGTTAGGGTGTAGAGCTGACCAGAGGGCCCGGGATCATTTCCAAACTCCAACACAAACGTGTCCTCAAAAATGTTTGTTCTGCAAGAGCATAAAGGGAACCGGGTGGTGTACAATGATCCTGCCAGCACCAAAACCACCAGGGGGTCGGAGGAGACCTTCAGGACGCAATAATAACAACAACCAACCATAACCACAACCACAACAAATAATCACAACCACAAACACAACCACAACAAACAATCACAACTACAACAAACTCCCACAACGAACAACCACCACACCACAACAAACTCCCACAATGAACAACCACAACACAAACAACCATAACCACAAACACCACAAACACCACAACCACAACAAACTCCCACAACGAACAACCACCACACCACAACAAACTCCCACAATGAACAACCACAACACAAACAACCATAACCACAAACACCACAAACACCACAACCACAACACCACAACAAACTCCCACAACGAACAACCACAACAAACTCCCACAACCAACAACCACAACAAACAACCACAACCACAACAAACAACCACAACCACCACAACAAACAACCACAACCACAACAAACAACCACAACCACCACAAACACCACAACCACAGCACCACAACAAACTCCCACAACCACAACCACCACAACAAACTCCCACAACACCACAACCACAACAAACTCCCACAACCAACAACCAAAACAAACAACCACAACCACAACACCACAACAAACTCCCACAACGAACAACCACCACAACAAACTCCCACAACACCACAACCACAACAAACTCCCACAACCAACAACCAAAACAAACAACCACAACACCACAACAAACTCCCACAACGAACAACCACAACAAACAACCATAACCATAACCACAACCACAACAAACAATCACAACTACAACAAACTCCCACAATGAACAACCACAACACAAACAACCATAACCACAAACACCACAAACACCACAACCACAACACCACAACAAACTCCCACAACGAACAACCACAACACAAACAACCATAACCACAAACACCACAAACACCACAACCACAACACCACAACAAACTCCCACAATGAACAACCACAACACAAACAACCATAACCACAAACACCACAAACACCACAAACACCACAACCACAACACCACAACAAACTCCCACAACCAACAACCACAACAAACTCCCACAACCAACAACCACAACAAACTCCCACAACCACAACAAACAACCACAACCACCACAACAAACAACCACAACCACAACAAACAACCACAACCACAACAAACACCACAACCACAGCACCACAACAAACTCCCACAACCACAACCACCACAACAAACTCCCACAACACCACAACCACAACAAACTCCCACAACCAACAACCACAACAAACAACCACAACCACAACAAACAACCACAACCACCACAACAAACAACCACAACCACAACAAACAACCACAACCACCACAAACACCACAACCACAGCACCACAACAAACTCCCACAACCACAACCACCACAACAAACTCCCACAACACCACAACCACAACAAACTCCCACAACCAACAACCAAAACAAACAACCACAACCACAACACCACAACAAACTCCCACAACGAACAACCACAACAAACTCCCACAACCAACAACCACAACAAACAACCACAACCACAACAAACAACCACAACCACCACAACAAACAACCACAACCACAACAAACAACCACAAACACCACAAACACCACAACCACAGCACCACAACAAACTCCCACAACCACAACCACCACAACAAACAACCACAACACCACAACCACAACAAACTCCCACAACCAACAACCAAAACAAACAACCACAACCACCACAACAAACAACCACCACCACATCCCCAACCATAACCACAAGAACCAACCACAACCACAACAAACAACCACAACCACCACAACCCCAACCACAACCACAACATCCAGGTCATAGTTATCCAAAGAAGGTAAAGTCAAGGGCAACTGGACTTGGTTGAAGATACTAGAACCACAACAAACAACCACAACGAACAAACACAACCACAACAAACAACCACAACCATAACAAACTCCCACAACCAACAACCACAACAAACAACCAACACCACAACCCCAACTACAACCACAACATCCAGGTCATAGTTATCCAAAGAAGGTAAAGACAAGGGCAACTGGACTTGGTTGAAGATACTAGAAGACGTTTCGTCCCTCATCCAAAGGACTTCTTCAGTTCTGACTGACTGGTAGGGAAATTCAGCTATTTAACCTCAGTGGGGTCGTTTGCCAGAATCGTCGATACCGCTGGTAAACTTTGCCATTTCACTACAGCAGCTACCTAGAGTGGACCTTATCACAGCCACAGAATTGGCCATTAGGAAAAACAAATTAACAAAAGCGGAACAGCTCAGGCTAAAGGTGTCTGCAGCCCTTTCTAATGCGAAGCCTCCCCCTTCCAACCTCACCATCCAAGAAAAGGAAGGCTGTGACATCACTGAGCAAGGATCAAAACATCACTATCCTACCTGCTGACAAAGGAGGATGCACGGTAGTACTTAACACAGCAGACTACCAGAACAAAGTCAACACACTACTAATGGACACAAACACGTATGAGACACTGAGGCGAGACCCAACCAGCATATACAAGAAAAAGGCCATAGAATGTCTACAACAGTTACAGAAGGACAACACCATCACCCGTGAACAATATTACCGTTTGTATCCTGGAGAAGCCATTCCATGCATTTATGGACTACCCAAGATACACAAAGAAGGAGCCCCACTCAGGCCGATTATCAGCAGCATTAACTCGGTCACCTACAGCATTGCCAAACACATTTCTACCATCTTAGCTCCCATGGAGAGAAACACGCCTCACCACATCCATAACTCCACTGACTTTGTAAAATTGCAGATTGGGGTTTACAGAAAACCCACACACAGACCAATACCTACTGTTCGATTCCCACCACCCACTGGAGCACAAGCTAGGGGTCATGAGAACACTGCACCACAGAGCGGAGAACATACCAACAAGCGCCCAAGCCAGAGAGAAGGACCAGAACCACCTGAAGGGGGCACTTACAGCCTGTGGAGACCCTAAATGGACCTTTGTGAAAACAGCCACAAGATCCAAGAAGAACAAAACTACAGGGGAGGAAAAGAAGGTCAAACGCAACAACATTGTGATTCCATACGTGTCTGGAGTATCAGAGAAACTCAGGAGGATTTTCAACAAACACAACATCCCTGTGTTTTTTAAACCCAAGAACACACTAAGACAGATGCTGGTCCACCCCAAAGACCGCACACCCAAACACAAGAAAAGCAATCTAGTGTATGCGGTCCAATGCAGTGAGGAATGCACAGACCTGTATATTGGGGAGACTAAACAACCACGACACAAACGCATGGCTCAACACAGAAGGGCCAACTCCTCAGGTCAAGACTCTGCAGTCTACTTACATCTGCAGGACAGAGGACACTCGTTTGAGGACCACCAGGTGCACATTTTAGACAGAGAAGATGGATGGTTTGAAAGAGGTGTCAAGGAAGCATCTACACCAGGGTGGAGAAGCCGTCATTGAACAGGGGAGGGGGTCTACGCCACCACTTATCCCCCACTTACAATGCTGTCCTTTCATCACTTCCCAGGAAACTCAACAAACGTAACCTGTTGGCCTCAGGTGAAGATACCAACGATGGTCGTTCAGTCTCGGCCACAGGTAGTCTTAACGACTGTAACGACTGTCGTCACAGCAACAAGGAACACTAACGAACCAGCGGTATCGATGACCCGGGCCAACGACCCCACTGAGGTTAAATAGCTGAGTTTCCCTGCCAGTCAGTCAGAACTGAAGAAGTCCTTTGGATGAGGGACGAAACGTCTTCCAGTATCTTCAACCGAGTCCAGCTGCCCTTGACATTAACCTTCTTTGGATAACCACAACAACCACAACAACAACAACACCGATGCCATTAATGATTTATTAATTTATTAGACATCAGTAGATACAGAAGGTCCAGCTACAGGTACAATATTCAGATAAACATTACTGTGGTGCACAAACCAAGCGCTCCTCGTGTCACTGAAACGTCTCAGATTATAAATACGATCAGAATCTGAGATTATTATAAATTCAATATAAGATATTTATCCAGCTGATGAGGATAAGTTCAGGGAGGAAGAGGAGCAGTTTGTGTTTCATCCTGAGTGTTTCCCTCGATACCTACAAGTACTAACTACACTACTGTGGTAACTGTGAGCACGACTGCTCTCTGCCTCTACGGGCCCGACCTTTCATTAAAAGATAAACTCTGCAGAGTGCAACAACATTTACAATAAAGATAAATATATTTCCGAAGTATTCTTGTAGGTACACATCCAGTGCAAATATTAAAGTACAAAAACATATCAGTCCTGCAGTCTGTCGAAGCTCACTGGTCACTGCGAATATACCGATTATTACTCCAGATGTTTCCAGAGGAGGGGGAATATTCTGAGCCGTATACCAGCGTCCTGATCTGAGTATTATCACTACAGCGCTGACAGCTTGCTGTAGCGCCCCCTCATGTCCAGTTGGTGTTGGTTCTGTACTGATGTGTGTTCGTGTTGCGTACAGGAGCTTCACGCCTCTGGAGTCCTGTTAGCTTCTCATGTCGGTATAGAGTTCAGCCGATGACGTGTTCTGGTTTGTATTCAGGAACGTTTGCAGCCATAAAGTCTCTGAGCAGCCGGTCCTGAAATGTTCTGATCTGAGATCTACTTAGTGTGTGCAAAACAGGAGAAAGCTGGTGATCAATGTGACAGGACAATTCTAGCTCATCAACAACACACGGATCCATAAACAAATAAATAAACTTCATTAGAGAAGGGGAACACAGTCCAGCTGCCCGCTGTGTCTGAAGCAGCTGCTTGGTCAAGTCCAGTGATTGGTCAGCACATGAAGAGGGGCGGGGCCAGTCCTGTACATAAAGATGGAGTGCTCCCTGGTGGCCGGGTCATAAACCCCGCCCCCTCCGTGTTATTGGATGAGTTCACTGACGAGTTTGGTTTTATTTATCTGATGCTTTTAAAGGGGGTTTCACATCATGATTGACAGCTGAGTTCTGCTCGTGATTGGGTCGGCCAGCTGTGTGGGCGGGACCTCTATGCCACTTCTGGCTTCATTCGTACAGAGGGAGGAAGTGGATCTTCCTCTGACCTGCTGGTTGAACCAGGTCCCAACACAGAATAAAGCCTCTGATTGACTGACTGGTTCAGGTCTGTCAGGGGTCAGAGGTTGGAGGACTGTTTGATGCTGTGGAAGGAGACTCTGCTCGGTGAGGTGGGCAGCGATGTGGCTCGCACCGCCCGGCTCCGGAAGGAGTGACGGTCCTGCCAGCGAATCCAGCGCTTCCTGACCGCAGAGCGCACCTGCACACAGACAGGTAAAAACAAACAGACAGTTACAGACAGACAGGGACAGACAGACAGGTACAGACAGACAGGTACAGACAGGTACAGACAGACAGGTACAGACAGACAGGTACAGAAAGACAGACAGTTACAGACAGACAGGTACAGACAGTTACAGAAAGACAGGTACAGACAGTTACAGAAAGACAGACAGTTACAGACAGACAGACAGGTACAGACAGTTACAGACAGACAGGGACAGACAGTTACAGACAGACAGGTACAGAAAGATAGACAGTTACAGACAGACAGACAGGTACAGACAGTTACAGAAAGACAGGTACAGACAGTTACAGAAAGACAGGTACAGACAGTTACAGACAGACAGACAGTTACAGAAAGACAGGTACAGACAGTTACAGAAAGACAGGTACAGACAGGTACAGACAGTTACAGACGGGTACAGACAGTTACAGAAAGACAGGTACAGACAGTTACAGACGGGTACAGACAGTTACAGAAAGACAGGTACAGACAGTTACAGAAAGACAGACAGTTACAGACAGACAGACAGTTACAGAAAGACAGGTACAGACAGTTACAGAAAGACAGGTACAGACAGTTACAGAAAGACAGGTACAGACAGTTACAGACAGACAGACAGTTACAGAAAGACAGGTACAGACAGTTACAGAAAGACAGGTACAGACAGTTACAGAAAGACAGGTACAGACAGTTACAGAAAGACAGGTACAGACAGTTACAGACAGACAGACAGTTACAGAAAGACAGGTACAGACAGTTACAGACAGACAGACAGTTACAGAAAGACGGGTACAGACAGTTACAGAAAGACAGGTACAGACAGGTACAGACAGTTACAGACGGGTACAGACAGTTACAGAAAGACAGGTACAGACAGGTACAGACAGTTACAGACGGGTACAGACAGTTACAGAAAGACAGGTACAGACAGTTACAGACAGACAGACAGTTACAGAAAGACAGGTACAGACAGTTACAGACAGACAGACAGTTACAGAAAGACGGGCACAGACAGTTACAGAAAGACAGGTACAGACAGTTACAGAAAGACAGGTACAGACAGTTACAGACAGACAGACAGTTACAGAAAGACAGGTACAGACAGTTACAGACAGACAGACAGTTACAGAAAGACGGGTACAGACAGTTACAGAAAGACAGGTACAGACAGGTACAGACAGTTACAGACGGGTACAGACAGTTACAGAAAGACAGGTACAGACAGTTACAGAAAGACGGGTACAGACAGGTACAGACAGACAGACAGGTACAGACAGGTACAGACAGTTACAGAAAGACAGGTACAGACAGTTACAGACAGACAGACAGTTACAGAAAGACAGGTACAGACAGTTACAGAAAGACAGGTACAGACAGTTACAGAAAGACAGACAGTTACAGACAGACAGGTACAGACAGGTACAGACAGACAGACAGTTACAGACAGGTACAGACAGACAGACAGTTACAGACAGACAGACAGGTACAGACAGTTACAGACAGACAGGTACAGACAGGTACAGACAGCTTAGTGATCTGTGTGTTGGGGCTGTAAACTGAGTCATCGCTCTGTCGGCAGCAGAAGAAAGAGACTCGCTCACCTCGCTGTTGAGAAAACAGTAGAAAACTGAAACGAAGAAACCCTGCAGACACAGAGGAAGCGTGTTAGCTGCTAACAGTGCTAGTTAGCTTAGCTTAGACTCGGTGTATCGTGAAGCCGGTTTCTTCAGATCACCTGGAAGGACTCCAGTATGGAGTTAAAGTAGATGAAGACGATCTGAGCGACCTCGTCTTCTCCTCCAGGGTTCACAAAGAACAGCATGTAAGTGATTCCTAGCAGAGGCAGCAGCACCAGCGTCGCCTTCACCGCCTTCCTGCGCCGACACCGGGAAGAACAGAATGTCAGGACCACAACTTTAACTTTACAACAAACATACAATACAAACATCCAACATGAGAGACGATCATCTGCTCTAGTCCACATTGCTCTGATGATATTACAGGACACACAGTATCTCGCTGAGTGATAGGCAGTGGGCTGCACACTGTGACTCTTCAGGATCATTTTCCATCGAGCCAGTTTCCAGTCTGGCTGAATGTGTTGTCTGTATGTTACCGTGCCGCTGACGTCGTTCCACAAAGGTTTTAGTTTGATGCAGCTGCAGTTTGAGTTGGTAACTTTCTTCTTTCTTTAAAAGAACCCAGTTCCATTCTTCCAGCTGAACTCCCTCCATGCTCCTGAGTCTATGTTTGCACGTTGTGTTTCTACCCGTGTTGTGGCTTTTACCTGTACTGGATGGTCTCTGAGGTGGTCGACGCCCTCAGTTTGGTCATCAAAATCCGAACGATGTTAAACAGGAAGACAAAGTTAATCTGAGGAAGAGAGGAGAAGAAGAAGGCGGTTCACACTGTAGAAGTTATTCCAGGGCTGTTTCTCAGTACCAAGTTTGGAACAGCAGTATTATTATTACAGTTGTGAGTTTTCTCATCTGACATTTCTGCTTTTTGCTGGTGAAATGCATTCTGGGATACCTGGCTATCCGAAGTCCACACAAGTCACCAGCGATGCAGGCTCGGTAAAACAAGCAAGAACACATACCGCTATTTGACTATACTTTGCTAGATGCGGACTTTTGAATTGGAACAGTACTTTGGCTGCGACTGATGACGTTTCACAAGAACAAAAGTTCAGATAAGAACGCAGACTGCGAAACAGCCCTGGTTCAATTCAGTTAATTTTTATTTATATAGCGCCAAATCACAACAGAAATCTCATGTCTCTTTCCATAAAAGAGCAGGTCTAGACCGTGATATTTACTCAAACCCAACAGTTCCCACCAAGAGCTGCACTAGGAGACAGAGGCAAGGAAAAACTTCCTTTAAGAGGCAGAAACCTCGAGCAGAACCATGACTCAGGGTGGGCGGCCATCTGCCTCGACCGGTTGGGGTGAGAGAGAGAGAGAGAGAGAGAGAGAGGGGGGGGGGGGGGGGGAGAAGCAGTCTAGGCCTATAGCAGCATAACTAAGGGATGGTTCAGGACTCACCTGAGCCAGCCCTAACTATAAGCTTTATCAAAGAGGAAAGTCTTAAGCCTACTCTTAAATGTGGAGATGGTGTCTGCCTCCTGAACCCAAACTGGAACCTGGTTCCACAGGAGAGGAGCTTGATAGCTGAACGCTCTGGCTCCTAGTCTACTTTTGGAGACTCTAGGAACCACAAGTAACCCTGCATTCTGGGAGCGCAGTGCTCTGGTGGGGTAGTAAGGTACTATGAGCTCTTTAAGATAAGATGGTGCCTGACCATTAAGAGCTTTGTAGGTAAGAAGAATGATTTTAAATTCTATTCTGGATTTTACTGGAAGCCAATGCAGAGAAGCTAAGACAGGAGAAATATGATCTCTTTTCCTGGTTCCTGTCAGAACACGTGCTGCAGCATTCTGGATCAGCTGAAGAGTCTTAACGGACTTTTTCGAGCAGCCTGATAATAAGGAATTGCAGTAATCCAGCCTAGAAGTAACAAATGCATGGACTAGTTTTTCTGCATCATTTTTAGACAGGATGTTCCTGATTTTCGTAATATTACGTAGGTGAAAAAAGGTGGTCCTTGAAATTTGCTTAATGTGAGACTTAAACGACATGTCCTGATCAAAGATAACTCCAAGATTCCTCACAGTGGTGCTGGAGGCCAGGGCGATGCCATCCAGGGAAACTATATCTTTAGATGATGCGTCACGGAGGTGCTTAGGCCCCAGAGTAATAACTTCAGTTTTATCTGAGATTAACATGAGAAAATTACAGCTCATCCAGGTTTTAACATCCTGAAGGCACATTTGAAGTTTAGCTAACTGATGAGTTTCATCTGGCTTGATCGCTAGATATAACTGAGTATCATCTGCATAACAATGAAAGTTTTGGAGTGTTTCCTGACAGGTGATATGCTGGACGCTATTCTCCCACAATACAATGCACAAAGGAAATGGAGCAGCTGGAAAACATAAAACCTGACTGTGGGGAAGGAGAAACCGCTGCAGGTTGTGAATATCTCTGGCAGCAGCTTTAACGTCTGTTTGATGAACGGCACTCGTCTAATTTATTGTCTGGTTTTTACTGATGTAAAACTAACCGTTGGTATATGCTACAGCTCCTCCTGCTGGTTAGAGGAAGAAAGTCATGTTTAGTTCTAATAATGTGTTCTTACAAAAATCCAGCAGATATCAGTTAATGTAAAACATAAAAAGGCAGAAGAATAAGGAAACTGACACGCCTCCTCTGTCAGAAAGTCACAGTCATGTTATTTAAGGTGGACTGTTCTTACCAACAGGACCAGGATCATGGGGCCTTGGTAGATGTAGTCTGTATAAACGCCTGCCCTCTTCCCAAACCAGCACCTGTCAATCAAAACACAACCAACCATCAGATCTCCGCTGCACACCTGTCACCTCCTCGCCTGGGTGAACCTGACTGCACTCTCCCAGCTGTTAGACTCAGAGACGGGTTCAGGGACGGCGTTCAAGACAAACACTGGTCCACTTTACACAAGATCTCGTTTAACTTTATTGTCCAGTGCCTTAAAAATACAGTGAAATACTTGTTCTCTGGCTTCCCCTGCCTTATGTACACAGTACACAGTCCTGTACACAGTATACAGTCTAGTACACAGTACACATCCAGTACACAGTATACAGTCCTGTACATAGTACAGAGTCCACTACACAGTACACAGTCCTGTACAAAGTATATAGTCCAGTACACAGTACACAGTCCTGTACACAGTACAGAGTCCACTACACAGTACACAGTATACAGTCTAGTACACAGTATACAGTCCAGTACATAGTCTAGAGTCTAGTACACAGTACACAGTCTTGTACAAAGTATACAGTAGAATTCACAGTATCCAGTCCAGAATTCAGTAGAATTCACAGTACACCGGCAGCACTGTCGGTCTGCCATTACTCCATAGCGGTACCTCTTTGTTTTAAGTCTGGTGGTCGTAGGCAATTGTGCGAGATGCGTTTTGTGCATAGAACATGACACAGAACAAGGCGAGAGCAGGACGTAGCGAGGCGCCATAGAACGGCGCCATAAGGAGTCCCATTGATTCTATCTCCACACATCTATCGGGGAATGAGTCAGTCAGTTTTAGTGTTAGGGTATGTGACACTTTGTTAACATTTAATTCTACCATTAGTTGTTTTATAGATTATGAGTTTATTTTATTTTTTTATTTTAAGATAAACCTTCCTGTTTGTTCAGAGACATGTCATCCACAGGACTTACCTAGCCAGGCGTACAGGAGCTGCTAATAGGAGCTGCTAACAGGCTGCTAACAGTAGCTGCTAACAGGCTGCTAACAGGAGCTGCTAATAGGAGCTGCTAACAGGAGCTGCTAATAGGAGCTGCTAACAGGCTGCTAACAGTAGCTGCTAACAGGCTGCTAACAGGAGCTGCTAATAGGAGCTGCTAACAGGAGCTGCTAATAGGAGCTGCTAACAGGCTGCTAACAGGAGCTGCTAATAGGAGCTGCTAACAGGCTGCTAACAGTAGCTGCTAATAGGAGCTGCTAATAGGAGCTGCTAACAGGAGCTGCTAATAGGAGCTGCTAACAGGAGCTGCTAATAGGAGCTGCTAACAGGCTGCTAATAGGAGCTGCTAACAGGCTGCTAACAGTAGCTGCTAACAAGCTGCTAACAGTAGCTGCTAACAGGCTGCTAACAGGAGCTGCTAATAGGAGCTGCTAATAGGAGCTGCTAACAGGAGCTGCTAACAGGAGCTGCTAACAGTTTGCTAACAGGAGCTGCTAATAGGAGCTGCTAACAGGCTGCTAACAGTAGCTGCTAATAGGAGCTGCTAACAGGAGCTGCTAATAGGAGCTGCTAACAGGCTGCTAACAGTAGCTGCTAATAGGAGCTGCTAACAGGAGCTGCTAATAGGAGCTGCTAACAGGCTGCTAACAGGCTGCTAACAGGAGCTGCTAATAGGAGCTGCTAATAGGAGCTGCTAACAGGCTGCTAACAGTAGCTGCTAATAGGAGCTGCTAACAGGCTGCTAACAGGAGCTGCTAACGGGAGCTGCTAACAGGCTGCTAACGGGAGCTGCTACCGGGAGCTGCTAACGGGAGCTGCTAATAGGAGCTGCTACCGGGAGCTGCAAACGGGAGCTGCTAATAGGAGCTGCTACCGGGAGCTGCAAACGGGAGCTGCAAACGGGAGCTGCAAACAGGAGCTGCTAACAGGAGCTGACTCTTTAGTATTCTGATCACGTGACTTACTTCTCATTGTCGTAGTAAAGCTTCCCAAAAGCCCAGGCCACTATGATAGGAAATGGAATACCTGTGAAGAGACAGACAGGTGTAAAGGTAAACTTACAGGTACAGGTGACAGACAGGTACAGCTGACAGACAGGTGCAGTTGACAGAAAGGTGCAGGTGACAGACAGGTACAGGTGACAGACAGGTACAGGTAACAGACAGGTACAGCTGACAGACAGGTACAGGTAACAGACAGGTACAGATGACAGACAGGTACAGGTAACAGACAGGTACAGCTGACAGACAGGTACAGGTAACAAACAGGTACAGGTGACAGACAGGTACAGGTGACAGACAGGTACAGCTGACAGACAGGTACAGGTAACAGACAGGTACAGGTAACAGACAGGTACAGCTGACAGACAGGTACAGATGACAGACAGGTACAGCTGACAGACAGGTGCAGGTGACAGACAGGTGCAGGTGACAGACAGGTACAGGTAACAGACAGGTACAGCTGACAGACAGGTACAGGTGACAGACAGGTACAGCTGACAGACAGGTACAGGTAACAGACAGGTACAGCTGACAGACAGGTACAGGTAACAGACAGGTACAGGTGACAGACAGGTACAGGTAACAGACAGGTACAGCTGACAGACAGGTACAGGTACAGGTAACAGACAGGTACAGGTAACAGACAGGTACAGCTGACAGACAGGTACAGGTACAGGTAACAGACAGGTACAGATGACAGACAGGTACAGCTGACAGACAGGTGCAGGTGACAGACAGGTACAGGTAACAGACAGGTACAGATGACAGAGAGGTACAGCTGACAGACAGGTACAGGTGACAGACAGGTACAGGTGACAGACAGGTACAGGTAACAGACAGGTACAGGTAACAGACAGGTACAGGTGACAGACAGGTACAGCTGACAGACAGGTGCAGGTGAAAGACAGGTAAAGCTGTAGACGGGTACAGGTGACAGACAGGTGTAGGTGACAGACAGGTAAAGCTATAGACGGGTACAGGTGACAGACAGGTGGAGGTGACAGACAGGTAAAGCTGTAGACGGGTACAGGTGACAGACAGGTGCAGGTGACAGACAGGTACAGGTGACAGACAGGTGCAGGTGACAGACAGGTAAAGCTGTAGACAGGTACAGGTGACAGACAGGTACAGGTGACAGACAGGTAAAGCTGTAGACGGGTACAGATGACAGACAGGTACAGGTGACAGGCAGGTAAAGCTGTAGACGGGTACAGGTGACAGACAGGTGCAGGTGACAGACAGGTACAGGTGACAGACAGGTAAAGCTGTAGACGGGTACAGGTGACAGACAGGTACAGGTGACAGACAGGTAAAGCTGTAGACGGGTACAGATGACAGACAGGTACAGGTGACAGACAGGTAAAGCTGTAGACGGGTACAGATGACAGACAGGTACAGGTGACAGACAGGTAAAGCTGTAGACAGGTACAGGTGACAGACAGGTACAGATGACAGAAAGGTACAGGTGACAGACAGGTAAAGCTGTAGACGGTTACAGGTGACAGACAGGTACAGATGACAGACAGGTACAGCTGACAGACAGGTAAAGCTGTAGACGGGTACAGGTGACAGACAGGTACAGGTGACAGACAGGTGTAGGTGACAGACAGGTAAAGCTGTAGATGGGTACAGGGGACAGACAGGTACAGGGGACAGACAGGTAAAGCTGTAGACAGGTACAGGTGACAGACAGGTACAGGTGACAGACAGGTACAGATGACAGACAGGTAAAGCTGTAGACAGGTACAGGTGACAGACAGGCACAGGTGACAGACAGGTACAGGTGACAGACAGGTAAAGCTGTAGACAGGTACAGATGACAGACAGGTACAGGTGACAGACAGGTACAGGTGACAGACAGGTACAGATGACAGACAGGTAAAGCTGTAGACAGGTACAGGTGACAGACAGGTACAGATGACAGACAGTACAGATGACAGACAGGTAAAGCTGTAGACAGGTACAGGTGACAGACAGGTACAGATGACAGACAGGTACAGGTGACAGACAGGTACAGATGACAGACAGGTACAGGTGACAGACAGGTACAGGGGACAGACAGGTAAAGCTGTAGACAGGTACAGGTGACAGACAGGTACAGGTAACAGACAGGTACAGGTGACAGACAGGTACAGATGACAGACAGGTACAGGTAACAGACAGGTACAGGTGACAGACAGGTACAGGTAACAGACAGGTACAGCTGACAGACAGGTACAGGTAACAGACAGGTACAGATGACAGACAGGTAAAGCTGTAGACAGGTACAGGTGACAGACAGGTACAGATGACAGACAGGTAAAGCTGTAGACAGGTACAGGTGACAGACAGGTACAGGTAACAGACAGGTACAGCTGACAGACAGGTACAGGTAACAGACAGGTACAGATGACAGACAGGTAAAGCAGTAGACAGGTACAGGTAATAGACAGGTACAGGTAACAGACAGGTACAGGTGACAGACAGGTACAGATGACGTACAGGTAACAGACAGGTACAGCTGACAGACAGGTACAGGTAACAGACAGGTACAGGTGACAGACAGGTACAGGTAACAGACAGGTACAGGTGACAGACAGGTACAGGTGACAGACAGGTACAGCTGACAGACAGGTACAGGTGACAGACAGGTACAGCTGACAGACAGGTACAGGTGACAGACAGGTACAGCTGACAGACAGGTACAGGTGACAGACAGGTAAAGCTGTAGACGGGTAAAGCTGTAGACAGGTACAGATGACAGACAGGTACAGGTAACAGACAGGTACAGATGACGTACAGGTAACAGACAGGTACAGCTGACAGACAGGTACAGGTAACAGACAGGTACAGCTGACAGACAGGTACAGGTGACAGACAGGTACAGGTGACAGACAGGTACAGGTGACAGACAGGTACAGGTGACAGACAGGTACAGGGGACAGACAGGTACAGGTGTAGACGGGTACAGGTGACAGACAGGAACAGGTGACAGACAGGTACAGGTGACAGAAAGGTACAGATGACAGACAGGTAAAGCAGTAGACAGGTACAGGTAACAGACAGGTACAGATGACGTACAGGTAACAGACAGGTACAGCTGACAGACAGGTACAGGTAACAGACAGGTACAGATGACGTACAGGTGACAGACAGGTACAGATGACAGACAGGTACAGCTGACAGACAGGTACAGGTGTAGACGGGTACAGGTGACAGACAGGTACAGGTAACAGACAGGTACAGGTGACAGACAGGTACAGGTGACAGACAGGTAAAGCTGTAGACGGGTAAAGCTGTAGACAGATACAGATGACAGACAGGTACAGGTGACAGACAGGTACAGATGACAGACAGGTACAGGTGACAGACAGGTACAGGGGACAGACAGGTAAAGCTGTAGACAGGTACAGGTGACAGACAGGTACAGGTAACAGACAGGTACAGGTGACAGACAGGTACAGATGACAGACAGGTACAGGTGACAGACAGGTACAGGTGACAGACAGGTACAGCTGACAGACAGGTACAGGTAACAGACAGGTACAGATGACAGACAGGTAAAGCTGTAGACAGGTACAGGTGACAGACAGGTACAGGTAACAGACAGGTACAGCTGACAGACAGGTACAGGTAACAGACAGGTACAGATGACAGACAGGTAAAGCAGTAGACAGGTACAGGTAACAGACAGGTACCGCTGACAGACAGGTACAGGTAACAGACAGGTACAGATGACGTACAGGTAACAGACAGGTACAGCTGACAGACAGGTACAGGTAAAAGACAGGTACAGGTGAAAGACAGGTACAGGTGACAGACAGGTACAGGTAACAGACAGGTACAGGTGACAGACAGGTACAGGTGACAGACAGGTGCAGCTGACAGACAGGTACAGGTGACAGACAGGTAAAGCTGTAGACGGGTAAAGCTGTAGACAGGTACAGATGACAGACAGGTACAGGTGACAGACAGGTACAGGTGACAGACAGGTACAGGTGACAGACAGGTAAAGCTGTAGACAGGTACAGGTGACAGACAGGTACAGATGACAGACAGGTACAGGTGACAGACAGGTACAGGTGACAGACAGGTACAGGTGTAGACGGGTACAGGTGACAGACAGGTACAGATGACAGACAGGTACAGGTGACAGACAGGTAAAGCTGTAGACGGGTACAGATGACAGACAGGTACAGGTAACAGACAGGTACAGGTGACAGACAGGTACAGATGACAGACAGGTACAGGTGACAGACAGGTACAGGTGACAGACAGGTACAGGTGACAGACAGGTAAAGCTGTAGACAGGTACAGGTGACAGACAGGTACAGATGACAGACAGGTACAGGTGACAGACGGGTACAGGTGACAGACAGGTACAGGTAACAGACAGGTACAGGTGACAGACAGGTACAGGTGACAGACAGGTAAAGCTGTAGACGGGTGAAGCTGTAGACAGGTACAGGTAACAGACAGGTACAGGTGACAGACAGGTACAGATGACAGACAGGTACAGGTGACAGACAGGTACAGGTAACAGACAGGTACAGGTGACAGACAGGTACAGGTAACAGACAGGTACAGCTGACAGACAGGTACAGGTAACAGACAGGTACAGATGACAGACAGGTAAAGCTGTAGACAGGTACAGGTGACAGACAGGTACAGGTAACAGACAGGTACAGCTGACAGACAGGTACAGGTAACAGACAGGTACAGATGACAGACAGGTAAAGCAGTAGACAGGTACAGGTAACAGACAGGTACAGGTGACAGACAGGTACAGGTAACAGACAGGTACAGGTGACAGACAGGTACAGGTAACAGACAGGTACAGGTGACAGACAGGTACAGGTAACAGACAGGTACAGATGACGTACAGGTAACAGACAGGTACAGCTGACAGACAGGTACAGGTAACAGACAGGTACAGATGACGTACAGGTAACAGACAGGTACAGGTGACAGACAGGTACAGGTAACAGACAGGTACAGGTGAAAGACAGGTACAGGTGACAGACAGGTACAGCTGACAGACAGGTACAGCTGACAGACAGGTACAGCTGACAGACAGGTACAGGTGACAGACAGGTAAAGCTCTAGACGGGTACAGATGACAGACAGATACAGATGACAGACAGGTACAGGTGACAGACAGGTACAGGTGACAGACAGGTAAAGCTGTAGACAGGTAAAGCTGTAGACGGGTGAAGCTGTAGACAGGTACAGGTAACAGACAGGTACAGGTGACAGACAGGTACAGATGACAGACAGGTACAGGTGACAGACAGGTACAGGTAACAGACAGGTACAGGTGACAGACAGGTACAGGTAACAGACAGGTACAGCTGACAGACAGGTACAGGTAACAGACAGGTACAGATGACAGACAGGTAAAGCTGTAGACAGGTACAGGTGACAGACAGGTACAGGTAACAGACAGGTACAGCTGACAGACAGGTACAGGTAACAGACAGGTACAGATGACAGACAGGTAAAGCAGTAGACAGGTACAGGTAACAGACAGGTACAGGTGACAGACAGGTACAGGTAACAGACAGGTACAGGTGACAGACAGGTACAGGTAACAGACAGGTACAGGTGACAGACAGGTACAGGTAACAGACAGGTACAGATGACGTACAGGTAACAGACAGGTACAGCTGACAGACAGGTACAGGTAACAGACAGGTACAGATGACGTACAGGTAACAGACAGGTACAGGTGACAGACAGGTACAGGTAACAGACAGGTACAGGTGAAAGACAGGTACAGGTGACAGACAGGTACAGCTGACAGACAGGTACAGCTGACAGACAGGTACAGCTGACAGACAGGTACAGGTGACAGACAGGTAAAGCTCTAGACGGGTACAGATGACAGACAGATACAGATGACAGACAGGTACAGGTGACAGACAGGTACAGGTGACAGACAGGTAAAGCTGTAGACAGGTACAGGTGACAGACAGGTACAGATGACAGACAGGTACAGGTGACAGACAGGTAAAGCTGTAGACAGGTACAGGTGACAGACAGGTACAGATGACAGACAGGTACAGGTGACAGACAGGTACAGGTGTAGACGGGTACAGGTGACAGACAGGTACAGATGACAGACAGGTACAGGTGACAGACATGTAAAGCTGTAGACGGGTACAGATGACAGACAGGTACAGGTAACAGACAGGTACAGGTGACAGACAGGTACAGATGACAGACAGGTACAGGTGACAGACAGGTAAAGCTGTAGACGGGTACAGATGACAGACAGGTACAGGTGACAGACAGGTACAGATGACAGACAGGTACAGGTGACAGACAGGTACAGGTGACAGACAGGTACAGATGACAGACAGGTACAGGTGACAGACAGGTACAGATGACAGACAGGTACAGATGACAGACAGGTACAGGTGACAGACAGGTACAGGTGACAGACAGGTGACAGACAGGTAAAGCTGTAGACAGGTACAGATGACAGACAGGTACAGATGACAGACAGGTACAGGTGACAGACAGGTACAGGGGACAGACAGGTAAAGCTGTAGACAGGTACAGGTGACAGACAGGTACAGATGACAGACAGGTACAGATGACAGACAGGTAAAGCTGTAGACGGGTACAGGTGACAGACGGGTAAAGCTGTAGACGGGTACAGATGACAGACAGGTAAAGCTGTACAGGTGAACTGACCCCAGCCGATGCAGATGAACATCCACTTCCTGAGTTTGTCGGTAGAGTAGGTGAGAACGACGGCCGTGTGGAGGTAGCAGCCTTCACCAAACATCCAGAAGAAGTTTGTCACATGGAAATAATTATAACCTGCTGTCACCAACCTGCACCACACCTGAAGAGGAGGAGGAGGAAACAAGGTGAATGTGTGTTTACTTTCCCTTTCAGCCTCATGGTGTCTCCCTCTCTGTTGCCGTGGTTTGTGAAGGTGATGCTCCTGCTGCATTCATCAAAGTTCAGTAAATTGTCAAAACATAGATTCAGTTTTCAGACAGTACAAGTCACATGTTTGTCTCCAATAAATGTTGATGACCAGCAGCGTTTCATAACTGACCACATGATGGCGCTAACGCCACATTTCACTGTGTTGAGCACGCTCCCAGAGGGCAGGCGCCGCCCAGACACAGTCTCTGCCTCTCACTTCAGGAGTTATTGACCAAAACAAAAAGTTTTTTATAGAAATATTATGTTTTAATTTTATTCCGCCTTATTCGGCTGCAATCTAACATCCCTCCAGGACCTGTACCCATTCAAGACCTGTACCCCTCCAGGACTTCTACGCCTCCAGGACCTGTACGACTCTAGGATTTCTACCCCTCCAAGACCTGTACCCCTCCAGGACTTCTACCCCTTCTAGATCTCTACCCCTCCAGGACCTCTATGGCTGCAGGACCTCTACGCCTCCAGGACTTCTACCCCTCCAGGACCTGTACGCCTCCAGGACTTCTACCCCTCCAGGATCTCTACGCCTCCAGGACCTGTACGCCTCTAGGACTTCTACCCCTCCAAGACCTGTACCCCTCCAGGACATCTACCCCTCCAGGATCTCTACGCCTCCAGGACCTGTACGCCTCTAGGACTTCTACCCCTCCAAGACCTGTACCCCTCCAGGACTTCTACCCCTCCAGGACCTCTACGCCTCCAGGGCCTGTACGCTTCCAGGACTTCCAGCCCTCCAGGACCTGTATCCCCCCAGGACCTCTACACCTGTAGCACCTCTACGCCTCCAGGACCTGGGTACAGGACCTGGAGGGGTACAAACCATTTCAAAGTGGCTGCGGTCCATCAGGACCAGAACCTCCCACCACAAGAACACAGACCAACGAAGCCCGGGACCCCCTCTGACTCTAACTCCAGCCTCTCTGTATCTTGCACCTGGGTTCTCTAGTCCAGCTGTTTCAAAGAATGTTGGATAACGCCGTGATGTTTTGTTTTGCTCAGTGGGCATCGCCAGGCAAACACGCCAATGTTGAGCACAGAATTTTCTGCAGTTTCTATGGGGGGTAAAACAGACCGCTCTGTGGATCTGATGTTAATATGTTGATCTCTTTGCTCTGCGTGTGTTGATATCAGTCTGTCTGTGTGTGGTTACCTGGTTGCTCTCGGTAACAGCAGAGGTCATCGTTAACTGGACGATGAACCAGGTGGCGTTCCTCAAGATGAATGCTGAAATCAGATTCCAGTGGATGATGTTCCTCAGACAGCGAATACTCCTGTAACACACACACACATACAGGTAACTGACCACACCTGTAACACACACACATACAGGTAACTGACCACACTTGTAACACACACACACACACACACACAGGTAACTGACCACACCTGTAACACACACACACACACACACACACACACAGGTAACTGACCACACCTGTAACACACACACACACACACACAGGTAACTGACCACACCTGTAACACACACACATACAGGTAACTGACCACACCTGTAACACACACACATACAGGTAACTGACCACACCTGTAACACACACATACAGGTAACTGACCACACCTGTAACACACACACACACACACACACACACACAGGTAACTGACCACACCTGTAACACACACATAAAGGTAACTGACCACACCTGTAACACACACACACACACACACACACACACAGGTAACTGACCACACCTGTAACACACACACATACAGGTAACTGACCACACCTGTAACACACACACACACACACACACAGGTAACTGACCACACCTGTAACACACACACATACAGGTAACTGACCACACCTGTAACACACACACACACACACACACACACACAGGTAACTGACCACACCTGTAACACACACACATACAGGTAACTGACCACACCTGTAACACACACACACACACACACAGGTAACTGACCACACCTGTAACACACACACACACAGGTAACTGACCACACCTGTAACACACACACACACACACAGGTAACTGACCACACCTGTAACACACACACATACAGGTAACTGACCACACCTGTAACACACACACACATACAGGTAACTGACCACACCTGTAACACACACACACACAGGTAACTGACCACACCTGTAACACACACACATACAGGTAACTGACCACACCTGTAACACACACACACATACAGGTAACTGACCACACCTGTAACACACACACACACAGGTAACTGACCACACCTGTAACACACACACACATACAGGTAACTGACCACACCTGTAACACACACACATACAGGTAACTGACCACACCTGTAACACACACACACACATACAGGTAACTGACCACACCTGTAACACACACACACATACAGGTAACTGACCACACCTGTAACACACACACACACATACAGGTAACTGACCACACCTGTAACACACACACACATACAGGTAACTGACCACACCTGTAACACACACATACAGGTAACTGACCACACCTGTAACACACACACACACACACACACAGGTAACTGACCACACCTGTAACACACACACACACACACACATACAGGTAACTGACCACACCTGTAACACACACACATACAGGTAACTGACCACACCTGTAACACACACACACACACACACACAGGTAACTGACCACACCTGTAACACACACACACACACACACATACAGGTAACTGACCACACCTGTAACACACACACACACACAGGTAACTGACCACACCTGTAACACACACACATACAGGTAACTGACCACACCTGTAACACACACACAAATACAGGTAACTGACCACACCTGTAACACACACACATACAGGTAACTGACCACACCTGTAACACACACACACACACACAGGTAACTGACCACACCTGTAACACACACACATACAGGTAACTGACCACACCTGTAACACACACACACACATACAGGTAACTGACCACACCTGTAACACACACACATACAGGTAACTGACCACACCTGTAACACACACACACACACAGGTAACTGACCACACCTGTAACACACACACATACAGGTAACTGACCACACCTGTAACACACACACACAAATACAGGTAACTGACCACACCTGTAACACACACACATACAGGTAACTGACCACACCTGTAACACACACACACACACACACAGGTAACTGACCACACCTGTAACACACACACATACAGGTAACTGACCACACCTGTAACACACACACACACATACAGGTAACTGACCACACCTGTAACACACACACACATACAGGTAACTGACCACACCTGTAACACACACACACACATACAGGTAACTGACCACACCTGTAACACACACACATACAGGTAACTGACCACACCTGTAACACACACACACATACAAGTAACTGACCACACCTGTAACACACACACACACATACAGGTAACTGACCACACCTGTAACACACACACATACAGGTAACTGACCACACCTGTAACACACACACACACACATACAGGTAACTGACCACACCTGTAACACACACACACACACACATACAGGTAACTGACCACACCTGTAACACACACACACATACAGGTAACTGACCACACCTGTAACACACACACATACAGGTAACTGACCAAACTTGTAACACACACACATACAGGTAACTGACCACACCTGTAACACACACACACACAGGTAACTGACCACACCTGTAACACACACACATACGGGTAACTGACCACACCTGTAACACACACACATACAGGTAACTGACCACACCTGTAACACACACACATACAGGTAACTGACCACACCTGTAACACAAACACACAAACACAGGTAACTGACCAAACCTGTAACACACACACATACAGGTAACTGACCACACCTGTAACACACACACATACAGGTAACTCACCACACCTGTAACACAAACACATACAGGTAACTGACCACACCTGTAACACACACACAAACACAGGTAACTGACCACACCTGTAACACACACACATACGGGTAACTGACCACACCTGTAACACACATACATACGGGTAACTGACCACACCTGTAACACACACACATACGGGTAACTGACCACACCTGTAACACACACACATACAGGTAACTGACCACACCTGTAACACACACACATACAGGTAACTGACCACACCTGTAACACACACACACACACACACATACAGGTAACTGACCACACCTGTAACACACACACACAAACACAGGTAACTGACCACACCTGTAACACACACACAAACACAGGTAACTGACCACACCTGTAACACACACACATACAGGTAACTGACCAAACCTGTAACACACACACATACAGGTAACTGACCACACCTGTAACACACACATACAGGTAACTGACCACACCTGTAACACACACATACAGGTAACTGACCACACCTGTAACACACACACACACACACACACACACACACACACACAGGTAACTGACCACACCTGTAACACACACACATACAGGTAACTGACCACACCTGTAACACACACACACACACACACACACACAGGTAACTGACCACACCTGTAACACACACATACAGGTAACTGACCACACCTGTAACACACACACACAAACACAGGTAACTGACCACACCTGTAACACACACACATACAGGTAACTGACCAAACCTGTAACACACACACATACAGGTAACTGACCACACCTGTAACACACACACATACAGGTAACTGACCACACCTGTAACACACACACATACAGGTAACTGACCACACCTGTAACACACACACACACAGGTAACTGACCACACCTGTAACACACACACACACACACACAGGTAACTGACCACACCTGTAACACACACACATACAGGTAACTGACCACACCTGTAACACAAACACACAAACACAGGTAACTGACCAAACCTGTAACACACACACATACAGGTAACTGACCACACCTGTAACACACACACATACAGGTAACTGACCACACCTGTAACACACACACATACAGGTAACTGACCACACCTGTAACACACACACATACAGGTAACTGACCACACCTGTAACACACACACACACAGGTAACTGACCACACCTGTAACACACACACATACAGGTAACTGACCACACCTGTAACACACACACACATACAGGTAACTGACCACACACACACACACACACACACAGGTAACTGACCACACCTGTAACACACACACATACAGGTAACTGACCACACTTGTAAACACACACATACAGGTAACTGACCACACCTGTAACACACACATACAGGTAACTGACCACACCTGTAACACACACACACACACACACACACAGGTAACTGACCACACCTGTAACACACACACACACACACACACACAGGTAACTGACCACACCTGTAACACACACATACAGGTAACTGACCACACCTGTAACACACACACACAAATACAGGTAACTGACCACACCTGTAACACACACATACAGGTAACTGACCACACCTGTAACACACACACACACACACACAGGTAACTGACCACACCTGTAACACACACACATACAGGTAACTGACCACACCTGTAACACACACACACATACAGGTAACTGACCACACCTGTAACACACACACATACAGGTAACTGACCACACCTGTAACACACACACACATACAGGTAACTGACCACACCTGTAACACACACACATACAGGTAACTGACCACACCTGTAACACACACACACACATACAAGTAACTGACCACACCTGTAACACACACACACACATACAGGTAACTGACCACACCTGTAACACACACACATACAGGTAACTGACCACACCTGTAACACACACACACACACACATACAGGTAACTGACCACACCTGTAACACACACACACACACACATACAGGTAACTGACCACACCTGTAACACACACACACATACAGGTAACTGACCACACCTGTAACACACACACATACAGGTAACTGACCAAACTTGTAACACACACACATACAGGTAACTGACCACACCTGTAACACACACACACACAGGTAACTGACCACACCTGTAACACACACACATACGGGTAACTGACCACACCTGTAACACAAACACACAAACACAGGTAACTGACCAAACCTGTAACACACACACATACAGGTAACTGACCACACCTGTAACACACACACATACAGGTAACTCACCACACCTGTAACACAAACACATACAGGTAACTGACCACACCTGTAACACACACACATACAGGTAACTGA